TTATAGGAGGTGTGGGGAGCTGCAGTGAGTGTGCTGCTCAGGTAGTGTGGGTTATATAATAGGTGTGAGGAGCTGCAGTGAGCATGCTGCTCAGGTAGTGTGGGTTATAGGAGGTGTCTGGAGCTGCAGTGAGCGTGCTACTCGGGTAGTGTGGGTTATAGGAGGTGTCTGGAGCTGCAGTGAGCGTGCTACTCAGGTAGTGTGTGTTATATAATAGGTGTGAGGAGCTGCAGTTAACATGTTGCTCAGGTAGTGTGGGTTATAGGAGGTGTCTGGAGCTGCAGTGAGCGTGCTGCTCAGGTAGTGTGTGTTATAGGAGGTGTGGGGAGCTGCAGTGAGTGTGCTGCTCAGGTAGTGTGGATTATAGGAGGTATGGGGAGCTGCAGTGAGTGTGCTGCTCAGGTAGTGTGGGTTATAGGAGGTGTGGGGAGCTGCAGTGAGTGTGCTGCTCAGGTAGTGTGTGTTATAGGAGGTGTGAGGAGCTGCAGTGAGTGTGCTGCTCAGGTAGTGTGTGTGATAGGAGGTGTGAGGAGCTGCAGTGAGTGTGCTGCTCAGGTAGTGTGGGTTATAGGAGATGTGGGGTGCTGCAGTGAGCGTGCTGCTCAGGTAGTGTGGGTTATAGGAGGGGTGGGGAGCTGCAGTGAGCACTTTGCTCTGGTAGTGTGTGTTATATAATGGGTGAGGAGCTGCAGTTAACATGTTGCTCAGGTAGTGTGGGTTATAGGAGGTGTGGGGAGCTGCAGTGAGTGTGCTGCTCAGGTAGTGTGGGTTATAGGAGATGTGGGGTGCTGCAGTGAGCGTGCTGCTCAGGTAGTGTGGGTTATAGGAGGTGTGGGGAGCTGCAGTGAGCACTTTGCTCTGGTAGTGTGTGTTATATAATAGGTGTGAGGAGCTGCAGTTAACATGTTGCTCAGGTAGTGTGGGTTATAGGAGGTGTGGGGTGCTGCAGTGAGCGTGCTGCTCAGGTAGTGCTGGTTGTAGGAGGTGTGGGGAGCTGGAGTGAGCACTTTGCTCTGGTAGTGTGGGTTATAGGATGTCGAGGGAGCTGTATGAACGTGCTGCTCAGGTAGTGTTGGGCTAATTCCAGAGAAGTTACGAATCAAACCAGACATGGAGGTCTAAATTAGCAGTGTATTTTAACGTAATAAATTGATTGTATTATACTAACAAAAATGGATGACTTGGCACATTAAACAGTGAAGCAGCAAGGCATAGTATGGTTCATTGTATTGTTTTTTTTTTTTCAGATTTAGAAGATATTGCCCTTAATCAGTGACTGGATTTGGCATTTATTAGAGTTAGAGTTTATCAGCATGTATTGTAAGAGCAGGACGTGTTTATAGATGCTACCAGTGCCATCTTCCCTTGATGTTGGGCTGCTCTCATTTCCATACCCCTGCCTGTAATGATGTGCCAGTGTAATATCAAGTCATTCTTCATATTTCAGGGAAGACAAGAAGATCTGTATTCCTCGTCTCAGGATCTTTGGAGGAAGGCAGACTCGAATAAGGAACTGTTACTGTACGATACTCACCAGAACATGAGGAATGCCACGCGGGACGCCAGGCAGCTAAACGACAGCAAAGGTGCAAACCAGGATTCCCCAAACAGGAGGTGGGTAACTCGCAGAAGATGGCATTCAAAATCACTCCCTGAAAGGCAATGATCTTACTAGATCTCTCTCCCCAAACACACACTTCTTGGTCTCTGTTCCAGTTTTTTCTGTTGGCTAGAGACAAACTCCTACTGGTCAGTTAAGTGCAATATCACAGTCTTCACTGTGGGTGCAGAAATACTTATTTTTTTTCTGCACAGTAAAGTAAGTCTGGAGGAGAATCAGGCGTATTCACTAAACTTCAAATTATAGCAAATGGCTTTGCTATGTCTTATCATTCAGTTTGCTACAATGTGGGATTTTATTAAATAATCCTGTATGTCGATCAGCTTCAAGTAGATAATGCTTGTGGTCAGATCTTCCGGGATCCCCTCATTCTCCTGACACAAGAACAGACATTTGTATTAAGCAGAACTTGTGTGTAGTAAATTGGGTTAAAGGAGAATAGTTTGCTTTATTTCACAAACTATAGCACTATAAATATTGATCTATAAAGAAATATGTAATAAAAAAGTAGGCATCTTAAAGTATAGTATGTTTTTTGGCAAATAAAATTTTATTCATAAAAAAAGACCAGTATGGAAAGATTAAAGGGAAACTATAGTTACCAGAACTACAGCTTAATGTAGTTGTTCTGGTGAGTATAATCATCCTCTGCAGTCACCTTAATGCAAACACTGTGTTTACATTGCCCCATAGGTACACCTTCAGATGGCCACTCCTCAGATGGCTACTATAGCTGCTTCCTGGGGCAGTGCTGCACAGTGTGACTGCCACTCAGCGTCTCCACGCTCTGCATGGGGACACTGAATTTTCCTCATAGAGGGGCATTGATTTAATGCATCTCTATGAGGAGGTGCTGATTGGCAAAAACTGCATTTAGCCATGTCTCCATGTCAAATTCAGCCAATCCAATGTTTTCCTAATAGGGAAAGTTTCAGATTGGCAAAAAATTGGCAATTCTGATGATGTCACCAAGGAGGCAGAACTACGTGGTGCTAGAAATAAGGTGAGTTTTCACCTTTTCCTAAGGGGGGTGGGGGGGGGCAAGCCATCTAGATGGTGAATTAAACACTCTAGGGTCAGAAATACATGTTTGTGTTCTTGACCATATAGTGTTCCTTTACCTGCGGAATACATGTGCTACTACCTGCTACAAACACCACATTACTGGTGTCCAAACAACTATAAATTGCAGGAGAAGAAAACACGATGTAATTAAATATCTACTGGAAGCTAGCTTTATGGTAGAGTCTAAAGTTAAAGGAAATTTGATTGGATGAGGCCTGGGAAACCGCTAATATTTTGTGTTTGCAACAATCTGTAAATATCCTATGGCCATAATATGTCATTTAGTCCCCGGTTTCCATGATTTTTGGCTACAATAAATATATAAATGATTTTACATTAATATTGTTTTTGCGACCAGAATAAAATGTCCGTAAGGTAAATGTTTCCATAGAGTTGGATAGTATAACTTGGAAAGGGGACACATTAGAAAACGTGAATTAATACACAATGCACGTATAACCAAAATTACAAAAATTTTAAGGTGAAAAAAACGAAACGATTTTGTTTAAATTAAATGAACTCCCATAGAGGAGGTCTGGTGATAAACTCTCTTGAATGCAGTTGGCCATATATATATGTAATACAATGTATGTCTCTTACATATACAATATAAATAGGTACATATATAATGAAAGCTGCTTATTTCACTGTATTTTGTATTTTAAGATCAAAGGAAAAAAGTATCAGCAACAGCAGATTCTATTCATAACGAAAACGTTCTGAGCTACTTTGAAACCACCCACTATCAATCCTGGTACAAGATCATTGTGGACTCAGCTAGAGCTTCCTGCAAGACATTTACAGTTTAATAAAAGTACAACAAACATATATGATCTTCGAAATAGAACATTTTTAAGCACACTGGTTTCCAAGGACACTGCGGACAGTTACTGCCATTATATTTCTTTATTTGGAGACAAATATTCAGTTCCACCTCATGTTCTAGTTCAGAGACATTATAAGACTGTTTGCAGAAGATTATAGGATTATAGGATAGAATGCTCCGCACAAGGTTTTTCCTGTTTCGTGCAGAACGTTCCTTCGTTTTATTGATGATTTGGGGAAAAATTTCAACTGGAACAGACTCCTGCTGCTTCAGACTTGTGGAAAGCTCCCTTCAAGTTCTGTTATTCCATAACAACATTTCTATACATCTTCAAAGCTGGAAGTGACTCAGGAGATAACTATTTTCAAACCATCTTTGCCTTTCATATTTAAAGGGACATTAAAGCCTCCTAACAAATGTTACGTTCGAGGCAGTTTGTGTGTGTACATGTTACAGTTTTGTTTTAAACCAAGTGCCTAACCCTGGAGGTCTGTGAAACAGTTTGTCTTTCGTAAAACAATGTGTAAAATTCTAAATATGAAACTGCACTGGAAGATTAAGCCATAATTGTATGTTGAATGCCTGTAAGGCACCAATGTCACCAGACTACTTTCATACATTTTCTAGAAGCATGTCTGCACTAGTTTGGCAAGTAAATTTTTATTTTATAGCCAAGTGACTGATTGTCCCCCATTCATAAAAAGCATGCCATCTATACGTTTCCTAAAACCATTACAGTATCTTCAAATCTAGAGGAAATTACAATTTAATTGTGATTTCAGTTTTTACTGATTATGCAGCTATATTTTAAAACATTAAGACTGTGGAAATGACTTATCCAAAAGCTAGAGACATGTGGTATGAGCAATGTAAAATGTGTGTTCTTAGAATTAAGATGTTATGATCCTTACTTTTAAATATCTGCTGCCAGAGTGAAATTTAACATAGTAAAAAAAAAAAAAATATTCGTACACCAAAAATAAATAGAAATGTAACTCTTATTAAGCTAGAATATAATATCAAAGAAATATATATGCCTATCACAATTGGCATAATGTCCCAGGACATAAATAAATGTAAATAAATTGCAAAATACATGAAAATCAGCTCACACAGATACAAAGTAACACATTATGAAAATATGCTGTGCAATATTTACCTTACTAGAAGACAGAAGAACAGACACAACGTTTCGGCTTGAGGGCCTTTGTCAAGGGTGATTTTAAGTCACACCACCATTTGTTTATATAAGCAATACATTTGATTAAAAGGTGGAAGGACTTCCCTCTATTAGCCCCAAATCAAATGGAAAACACCTGTATAGCAATTGCCAAGATAATGAATTAAACTTAAAGTATTGAAAAACGCACTGTTTATTATGGAAACGATATGTACATATCAAGTTAGGCGTTCTGTTGCCATAGCAACGGTGCATTTCTCAACACTTTAATTCCTTATTTTGGCCATTGCCATTTTTTATATTCTTTGCACCCACTACTGTGTATACAGGCTGTACATACATTGGTTACCCCTACTAACTTGTATTCCAATGAAATTTAACATAGAGCGTAATCCTGATCTTTGTGATACAGCAATTTAAGGATATGTACATAGCGACTTCCTGTAGGAATTGCCATTACCTCCTTTAATGACAGCCAACTAAGCAATACCCAACAGAGTTTTCCAGTTGCGAGTCTCACGTCATACATTTTATTATGCAATTTTAAACGTTCAGAAAGTGGCAGTTACCAAATACACTTATCCACATTTGAACACATTTTATATTTATATATAAAATCTTTAAGTTTAAACAGATTTCCAACTAATCTCAGTCTGCAATTTGCATTAATTTTCACAGGTTTGAATATCATGAAATATCAGAAATCTGGTGTGAAACCCCATTGAATGTTAATCCCTGCTTAGAGAAATTAGAATATGAAAAGATAGAATAGCTGTTACTCTGTTTCAACTGTATTTCAGGTTGTGAAAAATACTGCCAACTAGTGAATTGTGGGATTTACATGGTGCCAACATGGTCGGCAGCGATTTACAATCTTGATACTGAGATATAGGCCCAAATAATGAGTCTAGCAATCACCAGCAAACAAGAGGTTATTGAGAAGCCTGACTGAACAAGCATTAAAAAAATCTGGATTTATGTAGCCGAAACGTTATGCCTGCTTCTATGATAATATTTACACTTGGTGTTTACATAATATGGTCGGTATCCCTGAATGGTAAACTATACTAATACAAAAAAAAGTGTATTTATTTGGAATTGCAAAAAGTGCTCTGTAACAATGAGGGTTAAAAAGAAATCACTTTTGAACAAACAAGCAGAAAGCTGCTACATGCTACTAACTGGGAGATCAGAGCATGTTCCTATCTAAAATCCAACTAAGCACAGCTGTAAAAGTAATGATAAGCTACTGCCCACGTGACCGCTATTGAGCGAGACTGAACTTTTTTTGTGAAATGAAATTGTGGGGCAAAATACAAACCGTGATACAATCAGCAGAGAAATCCTTTCTATAGGCCTGAAGGTTTCTCTGCTTTTTACAACGCAAGTCCAGAATTGATCATTATATGTAAATACACCGTGTGTTTATCTGTAGGTCACAAGTCATTTAGCTTTGAACAAGTATGGATAAAGAGCACGCTGCCCATCCCTGTACACTTCACTTACTTGGTCGTTGTCACAGTGTGACTTACTAAGGGGAAAGCACACAAAATCCCTGCCTTTATTACCCAAGTCAAAATAAAGATCACCTGGCGTAATAATGTAGATTAGGCAGTGTGGTGCAATCTGCAGGAACATTCCATTGGTGTCCATGGAGAATGATCCATATTTCTCAGTATGTTACAATTTGTTTTGTACAATTTAGTTTAATTTCTGGAGTCCATCCACTTTAATTATTTTGATACCCCGAACATTTCTAACCTGCAAACAATGTTTTGTTTGTGTCAATAGTTTTTTGAAGAGGTGTAAAGGGTCGGAGACACCTCATCATTCTCATTACATAATTTATTTCACGCCATGTTATGTGTATTCAGCCAGTAGGCTCAGTTTGCTTATTTTCAGCTGCTGGGATACATTGCGTGTTTGTCAAAGTGTGGTTGTTGTGACATGTCAAAGATGCTTTTTACAACCTCAAAGTGGAAAGTCAAAATGCAGATTACTTTTATATGGAGTTCTGTCGTTTTCTATTAAAGATTTGCTGTGATTATGCCCAAGAACTGTGTCCTCTCTATATATTTTTTCCCCATCAGGTTTATTAAAAGCTATCTTCACTGCCCTTCTATTTCAATTAAAAAGAACTCATGTGTGAAAGGACAAAAAGAGAAACGAATGACAACAGGACACGGGAACTGCAAAGGCATGCAATACCAGACGACTTATTCTCTTACCTGAATTAGGGAGAAATGACAAGTGGACAACCAAAATAGCCCAGTTCGAAGAGTCACTTGGTTGGCTACTTTGGACTACAGAAGGTAGTCCCCATGTAAATATTGCACCGTTTTCTGCTGAACAACCTCAATAACTTTGGTGTGGGGAAAAGAGGGGCAGTTAAAGCAACCCCAAACACCTACAGCAAGCTAAAGTTATTTCACGTAAAGTGCAGCTTTCAATAGAAATTCTGGAATGTTGACTGTCAATTTTGTGCTTATTTCTACGCACAGAATGTAAATCATGGGCTGTGATTGGTCAGCAGGTATTTTCAGCCAATGATTGGCCATTGATATCTGTGTCCAGCTTCTGCAGAAGTCATCACAACCAGCAGTAGAGGACCCTCAGTGCCCATCCAGGCCAACCAAAGAGCGAACCAATCTGTCTCATCATAACAACAACTCCATTAATAGAGACAATGTGAAATATCCAGTTTATTGTTCATATTTATGCCATGATGGCAAGAAAAGTTTTACAAAATGGTCATTTTAAGTTCCAATTTTCACAACACAGACATTTGGCCATTCTTTGTATTTTGAAATACTAGATTTAATAATAAAAATTTTAAAAAAAAGTCTTATTGTAAACAATTATTTCCAGTGACAATTCATATTACAGACCACATAATATTTCATACAAATAATATATTTAAAAAAATAAAAAAAAACACAGATAAGAACTACACTAGAAAGTTACAGTTTTATCCCAGATATGCTAGAAGGAAGCACTCAAAGGAATATGTTCAGGCCAAGCCATGGTTATTGGGAATAATCCCGACTCTTTGTTGGTCCTCAATTGGTTAGATCCAGCCAAATTCTGCATGAGCTTAGGAGAGAATACAGATATGCTGCTCACATAGAGACAGTCCCAGATAACAAAGCTTATACAATCATAAAATATTTCAAGGTTATGAAATTATTAAATAGAATTAACCAACAGACAAAAATAGTCCATTAGATCAACTCCAACAGTAAAACTTTAAAAGACACAAAAAAAAAAAAAAAAACCAACCCAAAACAATAAATTAAGAGCAGTACAGAGTCACAAAATGTTGTAAACATTGACCCACACACCATTATTAGCCGAAAGCCATTAAAGGCTCTTTCTCCATCAGATCTTTCGGGTTGTGAAGGAGTTCGTGTTTTGAGGTCTTCATGCACAGCATGAGTACGTCAAACACACAGATAATTATCTAGATTTAGTGCTTCACGAAGATTGCTATGAATGTGTCATTGTTCCACCATGCTTCTCTACAAAAAGTATATGATCAGATGAGCATTCATCAGGATTGGACTACAGAGGGGAAAAGGTCTCCGCACTGCAACAAAACGTTATGTTTGAAGGGTTATCCTAGTACCATGACCAATACAGTAAGTTGAATTGGTCACGATGCCTGGTGTCTAGGCAGTATTTCACAATGAAACAATGCACATACAACATGGAGGACCATACTCTAAACTAAAAAAGAAACATCTACCAAAAAATAAAATCAGTCACTTAAGGTTAAAAGAACACAGACGCCAAAATATTTATTAAGTATACCAAAAAACAAAAACCGGGTGGCTCACATTGCTATGGTCAATATGGACAGAGAATCTGCCTTTCCATTGCACGTGGTGGCAGTGATTGAGGACGTCTGGCCAAACTAGCTGCCGTGAACGACATTTCACACAATGCAAAGTCTGCATCATTTTACCCGTAGCCTACAACAGTTGGAAATACAAAAGATAAGCAAATCTTTCATCTAGAAAGTCTGGAACCCAGTTTGCTAGAGAGTTGCTGGGTGTATGGATTTGGGTCTTCACTATAAATCATGACCCGGCCTTGTTCAATGCTAATGCTACAGTTTAAAAACACCGGCCACATGTCTGAAAGGCAGATCTCCCATACCGAATTACACACAGTAAGCATTAGTGTTCGGCAATAATAAGAGGTAGTGAGGCCTTTATTTTAAAATGGTTGCAATAGTATCTAAATTAAGGACACAGAATAAATATGACCCTGTTAAAAGAGCAAGACAATGTTTTATGGCACCCTTGAGGTCAGAATTTTAGTTTTTCTTTCATTCATGTGAGGTAGTATGTAGCTCAGGACAGAGGGGGTGTGTGGGTGTATATATATATATATATATATATATATATAAAAATAATAATTCAAAAGAAACAGGACGTTTCATTGCCACGTTTTCCCACATATTAGATGTTAGCTATAGAAGTCTAAACTAGGGATCGACTGATAGATATTTTTTTTTTTGAGCCAATACCGATAATCTGTGAACTTTCAGCCAATAACTTACCGATATTCTGTACATTTAAAAAAATTTTTTTTTTAAATTAACTATTTCTACTCACATCTACTGTTAACTGAACATGTTTATTATTTTTTTTTTTATATATAAAAAGGTAAATGCACAAAATATACATGCCAGTTATAATTTGTGTTGTTAGGAATGTGTGTGTAGTGAATTCAGTGAGAGTTTTCGATTAGTGAATGCAGTGTATGTTTGTGTGGTGGATGCAGTGAATGCAGTGTGTGTGTGTGTGCGCGCGCATATGTGTGTATATATATATATATATATATATATATAATGCAGAGTGTGTGTTAAATGGGGGCATTTTTATTCTTTTAAATTTTGTTTTAGTCCCCCTTCTTACCAGGCCAGGGAGGGAGATATGGCATTCCCTGGGGGGCCCAGCACACTTACCTTCCCAGCAGCTCCCCTGTATAACTCTCGCGGCCTGTGTGCAGCGCAGAGCATTGCCATGGTAACGCTCTGACGGCCACAGGACTCGCGAGAGTTAGACAGGGGAGCTGCTGGGAAGGTAAGCAAGAGTGTGCTAGGCCCCCCCAGGACCCTGATGGCAGCCCTGGTCTGCATTATCGGTATCTTTATTGGCAGATACTGATATTGCTGAAAGTACAGAATATCGGCCAGACCAATAATCGGTCGATCCCTGGTCTAAACACAATAGTTTAGAACTAAAAGTAAAAACATGGAATTGGGGTTTAGTAGGTTGCACTCCCTACTCTTGGGATCCACGAAAGGATTACCAAAAGAAACAACAGGACAAACAATATGTCCCATATATAACTCCTGTTCTTAACCTTCCTGGCTTGATTACTATATCCATGAGATTTAAACCACTCAGCAACCTCATGCATGTTGTGTCCTTGAGGTTCGTAGCCCAAGTCCCGCTTAGCTTTTTCAATGCTGAAGTAGTGAGTGACCCCAGTTTTATAGACCTCAGTACGGGTTAGTAAAGGTTGGAAGTTATAGATGGGGGAAATAAGAAAGTGAATCCACTCAGTTATGAAGGCAATAAAGTATACAAGAAAAAGAGGTAGACGAATAGTAGGGAATTTGTAACCTAGACCCTCCACAAAGGGTCGGAAAAATTCAAAGTTGTTGATTGGTGTGCCATCTGAAATAAAGTACGGCTGACCAGCTGCTACGTAGTTTTTGTCAGGTGTGAGGGCTTTTGCAGCTAGAATATGGGACAAAACCAGATTATCTACATGGACAAACTGTACAAGGTTCTTGGGATCACCGTATAAATATTTGAAGCGGCCAGTTTCAAGGTAACCGATGATCCTGGGGAGGTGCCTTTGTTCCCCAGGACCATAAATACCTGCAGACCTCAATGCACAGGTTTTCAGACATCCATATCCATTTTTCAATTCACTATCATTTGCTTTAAGCACTATCATTTCGGCAATTGACTTTGTGCGGGAATAGTTATCAGGGTGGAGATGGAGAGGTAGGTATGGTAGAGACTCATCCCCATCATTAATCTCTTGGCCTCCAAATACCACATTGAAGGTGCTAGTATAAACAAGCCTCCCAACACCTTTATTGATGCAGGCTTGAATTAAATTATTGGTGCCGTTCACGTTAATTTCTTCTATTTTACGGGTCTGGAGTTGCTCGCGGCCTGACATGCCATAGGAAGCAGTATGGAATACGCAGCTCACATCTGTTAAGGCATTTTCAAGGGCAGAGGTGGAACGGATATCTCCTTGGATAAAACGAATTCCCTCAGGAACAGCCAAGACCGGCTTCTGAATATCAAAGAGGATGACATTTACTCCCTTCTGGTGCAGTTTGCAACCCAACCTGAATGAAGACAAAAAACCTTTATAAGGTTTTATCTGGTATTGGGCAATAAAACAAAAGGCGCAGGAAATGTGCCTGTGGCAGTGACAAGTTAAAGCAGGTTCGGGAATGCCTCAGCAGCTCTTTACTTATGATCAGACGCAATATGCTTTGAGTTGCTTGTGTACTTTAGTTACCTTCCAGGACCTGGCACAGCTACCCTCCAGCTGTGTGTGCGCAAGCTCATGAGAGATCAGGTACCCACCTGCAGCATGGCAATGACACAAACCCGTTTTAGGTGCCCCTGCCCTTTAATCGATCACAGCTCTTCTTTCAAAAGTTACATCGCCCACTCTCTAGAATTGGATTTCTCCATTAGAAATTCCATAGACCTCATTGCTTTATTGGAGCAATTGAATAAGTATTGTATATTTGTGGCCATAAAGTTACAATAAATATCTCATTATGTAAAAACCTCTAGGGCAAAATGTGTTGTAAGATGCATGGCAGTTACATATATGTGTTCACATGCACACTGCTTGTAATTAAAGTAAAGCATGTTAGCTACCAAGAAAGCTCACACTTCTGATCATTAGTTAAGTGTTCCCATAGAACAGATTACCATTACAAGTTTTCATAATTATGCAATCAGACACTGCACCAACCTGTGTCCAAAATATCCTCCTCCTCCTGTAATTAGGACAGTTTCTGTGGGGGATTGAGAGATGCCCATTGTATGGTCCAGTTTCAGAAACACAGCCAAACCTTACAGTTGAAAGGGGGAAAAAAAAAAAAATGAATAAGAAAATGTCAAAATAAAATGTTCATATGCTTAAAAAGAAACAAAATACAAAATTGGCACAATCAGTTCTGCTCATCATGCCCTCCTGTTTGACACAAATGTTTAACTAAAAGAAGTCCAGATGTCAGTGAGAGAAGTCAGAGTGTGTTGGAGAAAACAAATATCGTAATACAGTTGCAACCGGTTACCAAATCCAACTACAAAAAAAAAACAAAAAAAACCCAACAAGTCCTGTGTTCAAACTCCCATCACTCCTGGGCGGCAGCAACAACCATAGCACACCACAAGGAAGCAAGGTGAAAGGTTAGCATAGGACCCACCTGAGAGGTTTGCCTTGACGTGGCAGGTGGGCTAAACTCTCATGGCCATTGAAGAGACTAAATAACCTCCATTTATTTAATTACTGCATAGGGATTTGGGAAGAGCGCAGGTAACTTCTCTTTTGTTTCCAACTATATAAAATTTAAAAAATAATATTAACGAATTGATTAAAAAAACAAAAGAAAAAAAAAAAAAACAGTGCGACAGCAGCAAACAAGAAAAAGTACCAGTTTTGTTGTGAAAATGCCACTCTTGTACTAGCGTTCTATTTACACATTTATTGCATTGGTATACTGTACACAGAAAAACTGAGCTTCACAATTGTGAGCAAGAACAAATATTTGCATTTGTTGGTTTGTCTCTATATACTAGAGAAGCAGAATGTAAAGATAAACGTTTTAAGCCACAGTCCTGCATAACCAGACTTTCATATTTTTTGAAAGTCCGAGAGCAATGCAAGCCGCACTGGATTTTAAAGTTAAGAGATACTGGTAAAGATACCATAAATCTCCTTCCAGTTTAAAGGACCACTATAGTGCCAGGAAAACACACTCGTTTTCCTGGCACTATAGTGCCCTGAGGGTGCCCCCACACGCCCGGCTCTGGGGAGAGGAAGGGGGTTAAAACTTACCTTTCTCCAGTGCCGGGCAGGGAGCTCTGCGCCTCCGATCCTCCTATTCCCTTTCGGCTGAATGCGCACGCGCGGCAAGAGCTGCGCGCACATCCAGCCGGTCTCCTAGGAAAGCATTTACAATGCTTTCCTATGGACGCTTGCGTGTTCTCACTGTGATTTTCACAGTGAGAATCACGCAAGCGCCTCTAGCGGCTGTCAATGAGAGCCACTAGAGGATTTGAGGGCTGTTTTAACCCATTTATCAACATAGTTTCTCTGAAACTGCTATGTTTATTAAAAAAAAAAAAAAATGGGTTAACCCTAGCTGGACCTGGCACCCAGACCACTTCATTAAGCTGAAGTGGTCTGGGTGCCTAGAGTGGTCCTTTAAGCTAAAGTTGTTCAGGTGACTATAGTGTCCCTTTAACCATGGAGGAATAGACACTATAGTGCTAGTAATAAATAAACAATACACACAACAACTTTGTTTCCCCGGCACTATAGTTTACTTTTAAAGCAGCACGGTCATGGCCACATCCTCTTTTTAAACTTTTTTTTTTTTTAACCCCCTCTCAACTGCAATACATTTTATTGTCCCTCAAATGCCACTAGGACCCCCATTTTACCTCTTTAATAACTATTTTATGCCTGTATCTAGGTCCTGGGTGCCGTGATCTTTGTGTGGGACACATCATCTTCCCACACTAGATAGCGCCATGAAATTCCCTAGCAGTTAAATACTTGGGCATTCGCTATTGTCCAAAATTCGGAAGGGAATTTCGTCAATACATTCGTAAGAAAGATGAATGAATGAATAGAAATTACAAACGAATGAAAGAAGACCTCTTCATTTGTTTAGTTTATTACAGGGAGGGAGCTACCAGCTTGCAGATCTCTCCTTGTAATAGCATTGCTCCCCGCCACTCTATGAAGGTCAATAGGAATGCCCTTACTTGCTATGCCATGAGTAGGGGCATGTGTATAAAACAGTCAGTGGCTGCTCACTGTTAAAGATTAAAAAAAAAAAAAAAAAGCCCCCACCCACCAAATTAAGTAAAGAGGGACCTAGCACAGGTACCCCATGGTGGGGCATCTCCTAAAATTATTAAAGGGGAGGCATAGTATGCTTCCCCGACCCTCGAGTACAGGCTATTCAACAGAACGGGGTACCTATTGTCTACCCCCTCCACTAACGCCAAAATTAACAGAACCTTATCTCTCCCCCGCGGCCCCCACCCATGAGCTGCGGTTGGGGGCCCTAAGCAAAAATAGGAATGGGGACATTGTCTACCCCACTCCGGCCCCCATCCATGAGCAGCGGGTGTGGGCCCTCAGTGACCAAAGGTGGGGGGGGATCTTTCGTCACCCCCACGACAGGTGGAGGGATAAATGTATAAAATCTCCCCACCACACAGGGCCGCTTTAAGGTCGGGTTAAAGGGAAAAGTCTAGAATGTAATCTCATTTGAGCAGAGCCCTTTGTACCATCGGTTCTTGTGCATCAAACGCGTCTTTTGCAAATACTTGTCTGTTAGTCCACCTAATGTACAGTGCTGTGGAATTTGTTGGCACGTTACAGATAATTATAATAAGGCATTAAAAGATGGTTAGTGGTTGGCATTATTGGTCTGCATTTTACCTATATGAATCAAGAGTATAGAACGTTTAAATTCAATATACCAGGCCTTATCACCATAGCTCTAAGCAGGGCATCTAGATGCAACTGCAACCAAATGTAAACATGTATTTGTAAATTTCAAAATAAGCAATGAGGTATTCTCTCAGCATCAATATCTGTCAAGGAAATAGGCACCAACATGTCTACGGATTATAATAATAATAATAACAACCCGCAAACAATACCTTTAATACTAACTATAGTAACTTCTATAAACATGGCTGTCAGTGGGTCTTCCAGCCAAGGATACCCACTGGAGGAGTGATGCCAACTGTAGTCTCTCCTCGTGTTACTATAATGCTCATACAGCCCTAGAGCCAACATCACACTCCTACCACCTTTATCAAGGTGCGATGATAGACTAATACAAAGAACTGATCATACAGCCATCTCACCTGCCCTCCCCCTGCAGACCCTCACTCACACCCCCTCCAGACCCTCACTCACCTCCCTCCCCCTCCAGACTCCCCCTCCAGACCCTCACTCCCCCTCCAGACCCTCACTCACCCCCCTCCAGACCCTCACTCACACCCCTCTCCCCCTGCCCCTCCAGCCCCTCACTCACCCCTCCCTCTCACCCTCCAGACCCTCCTCCCCCTACCTCTCATCCCCTCCAGACCCTCACTCCTCCCCCCTCCAGCCCCTCCCACCTCCCACTCACCCCCTCCAGACCCTCACTCACCCCACAGACCCCACAGGCCCTCACTCCCCCTCCCTTCCCCTCCAGCCCCTCACTCACTCCCTCCCCCTCCAGCCCCTCACTCACCCTCCCACTCACCGACTCCAGCCCCTCACTCCCCACTCCAGCCCCTCACTCCCCATCACCTCCCCCCGGTGTCCTTACTCAGGGAGCCGACTCTCCAGCTGTGGTGGGCGGTAACCAGACAAGAGGCGGAAGTCGCGCAGCCAATCACAGCGTCTCTGTCTGCAACCCGCGAGCAGAATGACAGCCCGCGTCCTGCCGCTGTATATATAACAGGAGGACATTCCGTACAACAACATGGCGGCGCCCATTGCGTTCCACATCACGGCGAGCGGGGCTGCGCTGATAGCTGGGCGTAGTCCGTACAGCAATATGGCGGCGCCCTGTGGCTGGTTAGTAAGGAAGGAAGTTTAGATCCAGCATGGCGGGGAAACTGGACTCTCAGCAGATGGAGAATGTGCTGCAGGCACTCAGGGCGGTCAGCCACAGGCTGGGTATGGACTGTGCACCAACACCTTCAATAACTACTTTATATTAATATTATACTAACTTTATATTATAAATATATATTAATATTATACTAACTTTATATTATAATTATATATTAATATTATACTATCACACTATCACATATTATATATTATATTATCCCAAGCTTTACTATCCACATCTCATTAATTATATTTTATTCATATATTATATATTATATTATCCCATGCTTTACTCTCCATATCTCATTAATTATATTTTATTAATATATTATATTATCCCAAGCTTTACTCTCCACATCTCATTAATTATATTTTATTAATATATTATACTATCCCAAGCTTTATGACATAAAAGAGATATCATAGTTCAACATGTATGTTGGAAAAAGTGAGTTCATGACTCTTTTATGTGGTCTGTATAATGTTTATTAAGTGTGAGAGTGACAAATGTTTGGGGTTTTTTGCTGCGCTGGATTGTGCTTTTATAAGCGCCTATTTTCCCTTAATTTTGCTGTGTATTTTAAGATTGTTCCTTTAAACGTTTAAACCAAAAACCCTGTGATAAGCTGTTTCATCTATTATTGCTATCTGTCTGGTTTCAGACTGGATCAGCTGGTTTAGTTAGGTTCCCCCCTTTACACTCATTAAGTCCCAACCCATAGACCTTATCCCAGTCACAGAACCAGTTGTGCCGGCCTTATTAGAAAAACTAATTTCGTAATTGTCCTGTAACATTCCCCTGAGGCAAGCAGGGATCCCAATACTTCCATTCATCCATGTGCAAGCCGATCTGCTTTTTATTAGCCGTGAGCTGATTATATTTATTGGTGAGTATGTATCATAGCACCGCCATGGCTTCATTTTTGTAGCTGTTACACTATTGTAAAAGCCACCTCCCGGCTTGACGTGCTCTGCTTTACATTGCCGTGTTATTGGCACTTCCCCGAAGCAGAGCAAAACTCCTCCATGACACCTCACTGCCAGCAAGCTGGGCCACCTATTGGAGGTCTCTCCTGCTCTCTCTGCCAGTATTTCTGTGGGGTAGATGTCTATGCTTAAGCACTGATTGACCGGTAGGAAAGCATTATTTTTATAGAATTTGTCTTTCTCCCAATCTATACATATGCTAGCAAATCTAGGCAATTCTGATACGTAATGCATAGATGAAATTTAGTACTTCACATGTCCTGCAATCATGAAATGGATTATCTATAAAATGTCTGCATTTTTAAATGCAAATCCATAAATAAAATGTTTATTCTAAATGAGGCAATTTATTCTAGCACATTAATTGCACATTGACTTTAAAGGGGGAACTCTAAGCAGCATAATTAATACAGCTGTTATGGTGCCCAGAGTCCCCTTGTGCCTTTTTATGTATAGCATTTTCTTTGGAACGGTTAAACACCTGCCTGGGTCCCCAAGCATCTGCAGCATGGCTCCTTCACTAAAATCCATACTTCAACTTTTGTGTCATCAATTCTGCCCATCTTTGAACATAATTCTCTGGCTTAGAGCATCAGCTGATGGTCTCAGCAACTTAATTAACTCAAAAGAAGGATAATATAGATTAGGAACTTCAGCTTTAGCAGAATATGAAGCAGAGGCTGGACATGGGGAGGATGACTCTTAACACCAACATTACTTCATAGATGCAGCCCTTGTAGTTTGAGTTAAAGGACCACTATAGGCACCCAGACCACTTCAGCTCAATGATTGGTCTGGGTGCCAGGTCCCCCTAGTTTTAACCCCGCAGCTAAAAACATAGCAGTTTCAGAGAAACTGCTATGTTTACACTGCAGGGTTAATCCAGCCTCTAGTGGCTGTCAGGGAGAAAGCCACTAGAGGCCGTTTCCACGATTTACACGGAGTAAATCGCACTTATTTGATGCTGGACATCCTCACGGACATCCAGCATCATAAAAGATCTGAAATCGGAAAGCATTGAGTAACTTCATTGTGCATTTGGCTCCACTCGGAAGCTGACGTCGATGGAGGAGGAGAAGAGGTCACCAGTGCCGAGGGAGCCTGGTGCTGGATTAAGGTAAGCAAATAAATGGTTAACCATTTATTCGCTGCGGAATGGGGCCCTAGTCACCTAAACGATGACTAGGGCCCTATAGCGTTAGGAAAACATATTTGTATTCCTAACGCTATAGTGTTCCTTTAAAGATTTGAACATAATTTGACATATGTATGAATACATATCTACGTATTTAGGTATATAATATGTACACATTTGGAATTCATCACACAGTTAAGACTTTTAAAGGAACAATCCAATGCCATAAATCCGTTAAGCTTTCTGAAGTGCTTTGTGTGTCTTGAGTCTGTCTTTTTTAATACAGTTTATAAAAGAGATTTCAATAGAAATAGTAGCCAAAATGCGCCAGGGAGGCTATTTTCTCTTCCGTTAACTCCACAGAGCTAACTTAAAGGATCACTCCACACCCCAAAAGCACTTGCTAAAGTGCTTTATGGGTGAGGAGTACCCTCATTTAAACCCAGTTTATAAAAGTGCTGGTTGACACACGGATATTACATTCACTATTAATACACAACGCAGAGTGGATTTCTCTCAAAAGGATACCAATTGGAAGTATTGGTGGTGAGAGAAGAATTATACAACAAAAGAGAGAGCGGGGGAAATTTTTTTTTATATATTTTTTTTTTTTTTTTTTAAATAATTACTTAAACGGTAGCAAAATCTACTTGTCAGATATAACAATCGAGCTGTCCTGACACACACAATTTCACACTGGGCAACTGCCTAGAAGCCCTGGTCAATTAAAGGGTTAATCACCAAACTCAGATTTCTCGTGAATTCAATCCAAATGAAAAAACTGAAATAAAAAAAGCTGATAATGCTACTTTTACAACGTTTAAATCCGTTATTTCATTCAGATTTTAATAATGAAAATTCAGAGTTTAGTGAGAAACCCTGAGTGTCTTACCCTCTGCCTCTCCATAGTGTGTATATCTGTGCTGTGTGTGTGTGGTGTTTGCTGGCTGTGTGTAATGGTTTTTATATTTGCTTTGTTTTATCACAATTCCTGAATATCTCTCTGAAAGGAGGGGGGCTATAATCTGTAGTAGTATATCAAGGATTAAAGTAGCTGGTGGTCCAGGGTGTTTAATTCCCTGGAGTCCAGTGTTGGGAGCATGTGGTCTGCACCCTCCAGCAGGTGCAGACACAGTAACTGTTCCTTGAAGGCATTGAGTCAGACTGGGAATACCAAACACTTAGCTCTGATTCACTAGTGAGCGCTGGACTGCGAGGCAGTGAGAACTGTGGACCACAAGCTCCCTGTTGGGGCACCTCCTCCCCTAATCCCTTTTAGCAGGTCCTGTGCAAGGGCTAAAAGCAGGGGGGAAATCTGTGTGGTGCCTCGTACTGCATGCCTTGGGCATCCAAGAGAGAGGAATTCCACACCCCAGACTCCAGTTACTATACAGGTTGGAAATATATTGAATGATTTTAATGTAACTCTCTTAATAAGTTTCAATTTTCCTTTTCCTGAAGGTTCTTGTGCTGAATCTCTAGAAGTTTGCCAGACAAAATTAGGCAAATCATTACAATGTCAGCACTATCTAAACCATGTAAGTATTCTTAAGCCTTTTATTTCTGTTCCTCCTGTTAGCCTGTGGGGTTTATTCATTAAACAGCAAACTGTACTGACTTGAATAATGAATTGCAAACTTTAGGCACAAAGCGCAGTTTTAAAAACCAAAGCAACACAATCCCATATTCCTCTACATATTTCTATCATTGGATGATTTTAGTACCACTCCAATGGCCATTAGGTGTAAGCCCACCTGCCATATTAAGGCGAACCTCTTAGGTGGGTCCTACACTAACAATCACCTTACTTGCTTCAGCTTCAGGTAAACATTCTCTGAGACAGAGAGGGTTTTTTTCTAAACCCCTACACACTTATCAACCCTTAATTGGGGACACATGGGATGGGCAGAAGCATTTACCATGGCTGTGTGATAGAAAAACACAAAAAATAAGTCCTGCGCTCAGACTTCCACTACTCCTGGGCGGCCACAATGACCATCGTACATATCAATACGTACAAGAAAGACCCTGGCATTTAACATCTATAAATATTGTGTTTTTGTTCAGTACTTTGCTGCTCTCAGACGTGGCTCTGGAAGGGTTTAGTTACGGTGATAATAGTGATGCTGGCCTTGTATAGTTAGGATATTCTACCTGTTAACAAGCTCAAATGAGGCAAAACCTGTCTTCTGTTATGTGGTCTTTTTAACCTGGAGCAAGACATGGGAAAGTATTGACTGGATTGTAAAATGCCAAATTAAAAAAAACTCAATGGCCCCATAGACTATTAGCAGCGTAATTCCAACACTGAGCTGGAGTGAGGTAGTGATGTTCTAAAATGTCGATGGGGCTATTACAGACATCAAAAAACATTCTCAAGCTGCAAAGTCATTCCTTATAACAAAACAATGCTTGTTTTAATATACTATCAATGGCCCACCTCGGTATCCCAGATACATGTGGACTAGCTACCACTGCTATGTACACCGAATACAGTGCATTGTTATAAAAAGTCCATATGGAACAGTAAATCATTAAGCAGGTTTATTTTTGTATTTCAGATCGATACCTTACCAATTTATAGTTATTAAAACTGTTAAATAAAATAAGCAGCTTTGAGGTCTCTCTATCTTCATTAATACACTACTTCTTTTCTTAACTATAGTAAAACTTCATAGGATTAACTTTTAATTCATCGTATGTTCCCCTGTTTCTTCCCTCCCACCCCCTACTCTATCCTAATTATCCCTATAATAACCCTTTTAATCTCACTTTCTTGTCTGACTTTTCCCTAAGCTTATTTGGAGAGAGAGCCCTTTCATCTCTCTGATTGAACTACTATCATCATCAATTATTTTTATACGCCCGTTTGACCCATCCATTTCCTCTTTATTTAAATTGTTGTTGTTTTATTTTTTTTGTCGGGCATGGAAAGCGGGTGTATGGGAAAACCCCTTGCCACCTCATTACATAACATATTATTCATATCTCTGTCCTCCTCCTTGTTTCATTCCATTTACCTGGATGAGAGACCCTCTATAATCATTTTTATTTTAAAACTTCTAATTTATCTATCCAAGTATCCCAATATTCTATTTGCGTGTAGCGGTTTTCTAAGCTCACTAAGACGCCCCTTTCCATTTTTGCTTGCCATATTAATTTTGCTATCACTTCTCGGGTGGGTGGGATTCGTACATTTTTCCAATTCCGTGCTATCAGTAATTTGGCTGCTGTAATGATGTGTCAAATTAACATTGAATCCTTTATCTTCGTTTTTGACTTATTTAATAAAATTATTCCCGGATCCATTGTTAATTTATTTCCTGTCATATAGTCAATTAATGTAATGATATCTTTCCAATACGTATATATCAATTGGCAGTACCACCATATGTGTAATAAGGTGCCTTTATCAATATTGCACAGCCAATATCTATTGCATGTATTTGGATATATTTTATTTAGAAGATTCGGTGTCAAGTACCATCTATTCGAAAGTTTAAACTGTAAATCTGTCAAATTTAAGCAGTGGATATGTTGATATCATTTACTAAAATAACTTTTCCAAACTTCATCTATTTGTATATGAAGATCTTTTTCCCACTTTTCAATTGCTCGGGAACGTTTATCATTGTCTTAACTCATATAAGACTTTAACAGATTCAGACAGCATATTTTTACAGGTTTTTAGTTCGACGAGTTGAATAATCCCGTCTATTTTACACTCTCTATTCTTAATCATATACGCTGAGACAAGACCTTTAATTCTAAGATAGTTAAAGATATCCTTCAGTGCGATACAGAATTCCTCACTTATTTGTTGAAAGGGCTTGATTTTATAACCCTCTGTTATATCTATAATTTATTTATTCCCTTGCCCTTCCAAGAGTTGATCTTAGCATATCATTAATCACGGAGATTGGTATTGCATCTATTATTCTATTCTTTAGTCCAACTTTTTTCAAAATATATCCCACCAACCTGCTAGATCTCTTATTATATGTGATTTGGATCTTGCCTCCGCTATAACGTTTTTATTGTGATCTAAAATCCAGAATAGAGAGGGTAAATTCTCTACCCCTGTGCTGTTTTTCTCTGTTGAATACCATTTTTCCTTTTCTGTGGATGTATTCTGTGATAACATTATATAAAACCGTCTACTGGCCCGATAACATTGATGGATTTCTGGGCAACTCAAACCTCCATCTTGTCTTATCCTGGCTACATTTTTCATTTTTACTCTTGGTTTTTTCCATCCCAGACAAATTTTTAAAAAGAGGCATGTAACATTAGTAACTGATTTTCGGGACAGTTAAGAGGGATCACTCTCCATAAATAGAGCCATTTTGGTAAGAGCAGGTTTATTTTAATCTATCTATAAACATGCAGGAACTGATTTTCGGCAAGGTGTGACAATGGGCAGAGCTTTCGTGGCTATATCCTGCCATTTTCCATGGCTGTTGGGAACAGGAGTTATTTTATTTAAACAATCAATTCCTATGGTTTATCCCTCCAGTGCAATATTAAATATGGAAGGTCCTCGAGGATCTTCCTGCCTTGTTTGAAATCCAAATGTATTGAGAAAAGCTGAATTAAGTAACATCATCTACAGTTTATCATCACAGTGTAAACAATGCACTGCATTAGTATGGAGAGTCCATCTCCATAAGTTGTAAACAACATTTATCTCCATTAAAAATACACAGCAGTGATCAGAGTAAATAAATGAAAAGTTTACATGAAGACCCCTGTCATGGTGCATGACTGACTCTACTCCTGATAGGTGTTTCTCAACACACTTTATTTCATTAAAGTAGATAAAATCTCAGATACAAATGCACATTTTTAACATTGCATAAAAGCAGGTGGTAATTCATCATTTCGAACAAGCAGAACTGGCTTTTAAGGATTGCTTGTCTCTAAAAAGAATTCGGGTCTGGTGGCTGCAGTGTCACTCTTTATTGTAAAACCAGTATATCCAGATGTGGCATTTCATACTGGATACAGCGCGAGCACCCATTCGTGAGAGATAATCTGTGCTACACAAAATTTATTCGTTTCTGTTAAACATGTCTTCTAATTAGTTGTTTTTTGTTTTTGTTTTTTTGAGGGCAGCTGTGCTTTTGTTTGAACTGGTTATCCTGTTGTCACAAACTTACCTATGCTTTGCGCTCGTGCCGCTCCCCTCCTCGGTCACGTGGGCAGAACACACCACATGGCCACATTACTGCAATCCTCAGGTTGCATGGCCCAAACGCTTCACATGACTGCACGGCCTAAATAGGTTTGTACCCACCTTCGTTCTCGCGAACGGACCCCTTTTCTGGTTCGCGCGCCGAACTGCAGTACTTATAAATACGTTATTGCCATGATGTCATGCCCTTAAAGGGACTGCACAATCTAGGCGACCCCATGCTGTTTGGGGTTGCAGAGATGACAATGGGAACTCTTTTGAACCTATTTAAGGCCTGTTCCAGTCCTTACTCATTGCCCTATCATGGTTTCTGTCCTGATACGTGTTAGTGCTAATATCAAGTCTCTCTTATGTTCCTGATATTGACCTCGGCTTGTTTCTTGACGTGATTTTTCTGGTGTCCTGACCCGGCTTTGTACATACTCTGTGTATTTCTGTATTCCTCACCTTGGCTTACCCTGACCTTGTTTCTTGCTATAGTAATACATTAAGTCTGACCACTCTAAGGCTCAGTAATGCGTCTTTCGCATCCACCTTTTGTGGCTTTCCACTCTTTCTGCGTGTTGGGGTACTACTCCCGTGACACCTGTTTGTAAGCTAAAATGCAAATATCACTCTATTTCCTTTGACAATAAGAACCACTAGAGATACACAATAAAACATGGCTAATGTAGCAGCATACCCAGGCAATGTTTCTTAGGCAAGAAGTCAACATAAAAAGCAAGAATAAGGGGCAGAGCTAGCCTGCTGATAGGATCAGACGTGTTTTGTCTGAGCAACTGCTACAGAAAACTGGGGCTAGCTGCGGGCCACACGCCTATTCCAACCCAGATCGGTAGCAACTCTGCCAAGCAGCCGGCGGTGCTCACGGGGATACCTCACACGACCCTGTGCGGCATTGAATATTGGTAACCGAGACTTAAAGCTTACCTCACCTGAGCTTGAGCTGGGGTGAGACGGCCGATCTCCAAGTTCTCCGACTGGCGCTTTGCTGTCCCCTACCTCTGGACTGGAGGGGGTTATCCCGGTCCTCATTGGCGAACACTACTACCCGCAGTCGCCATCAAGCACCCGCAGGCGGCGACAGCCCATCAGGACTCACCGCCTTCCTCTGCAAAGGAAGAACTCTGTCTCGTATGTGAACACCCAAGTTCGTGGTACACGGATGCAGGCCTTCAAGACGGCCTGGGGCTGTGTGGAGGACTTGCTTGGACTCTGCCTCATGATACCGCCCAATCCCCTAAACCTGCCAGCAAACTGGGCATCGGCTGATGCGAGACTCCACATCCCAAGCATTTGGATAGTAGGTAGTCGGGCCCTCATGCTGGCTTACTCCACTACCCGCGGCATGCCAGGCTACACCTATATTCCTCCATATGTTTTTACCTACGGAGGAATGTAAAATGTTATCTTTATTTGACTATTTTTCCTGAAAATATGCTGTATCCCAGCTTATCTTTTATTTTGTATGCTTAAAACAATGAGAAGCAGCTTACAATACTATACCAGCTAACGTCAATCAACACAAGCCACTATCTTTAACCAAGTCAGCCTACTGGATGACAGGGGCAGAAGGAAAAACATTAAAATCAGAGGAGTTCAAGAGACTGTACCTTTTATAAGAACTGCCGCACCTTATCAGACGTCTGGTGTCCACCCTCATATCACCGAGGCAGGGTAAACCCTTTTTCTTTGACTGGGGCTACAGTATAGCTAAATCCCCGCAGGCCCCTACCACAGCGCCACGCGACATCATTCTGCGGTGTCATAAGTTAACCGAGAAAATAGGCCTGCTAGCCGCCCTTAAAGGAAAGACACCATATGAGTTTGAATCCAACCATGTCTCCTTCATTCAGGACTTAAGTAGATCCACACTATTATGGCACAAAGGAATGCAGCCCATCACCAAACTCCTCCAAACTGCATGACTAACTTACCGATGGTTGACTCCCAGATCGCTGCTGGGAGTCAACCAGAAGGGAAAACATACAAGGCTTTAGACCCAGCGAATGGCCCTGCCTTTCTGGCAACAATGGGTCTCGCAACACAGGGGTTACCCACACTGGGACTATTGAGCACTCACCCAAGGAACACTGAGGATATCTCCACTCTCATGCCCAGAGAGGGAAGAAGCCCTGCAACCTGAATCAAAGCAAGCAAAACGCAGTCCAGTGTTTTTTTTTGTTTGTTTGTTTGTTTGTTTGTGTTTTTTTTAATCATGCCAAGGTACCCACACTTTTTTTTCATTTTAGTTTAAAGTTTCTCCTGTTGGAATAGGTTGATATACACCGAGCCCTTATGGCGGTTGTTCTGCGCTCCGATGATATAACCCACCAACCTCCCCCCCCCCCCTTAGTGTCACAGTAAACAATGGAGCACTACACTCAACACCATAAGTCTAGCTTATACTGGACACGCAGCCACAAGAGGCCAAGCCCTGCAAATGCAACGCCACCCATGCTCCGAATTACACTTCGCCCTCACATAGGTGACTTCCCGATAGCTAACCAGACTAACACTCTGAATCAGCCCTACACCTTTGGGTTACAATAGGTTTTATTGCTACAGAGTGGCATATGTTTGTACGACAATTGTGTTAGTGGAATATATGTTGCTTTCTTTTCATTTTTCTTTTAATTTCCATATGCATCGATCCAGCACTGATATATGTGTTTATAATGACACAAACGAAAAGTGCTGACAGGTATGCATCACAGCAACCCAGGTTCCCATCGTTGCCAACGCCACTTCACGTAGCAGGCGGCTTACTAGCGCAAAACCCTGTGTTGTTTCTACACCACCACTAGTGTATTGAACCAAAGCATCATTATATGTAGCCCTAGAATTTACCATTCTCAAAGTTGGCCAACTCGTTAAAACTGCCCAGCCCACTATATCTAAAAATATGTTCAATGCTTGTTTCAGCCAAGTCTCTATATTAACCTGTTCATTGTTATGTCTCATGCATGTGCTGTTGTGGCAATCAAACTGTGTACAACTGATATTACACTAAAAATAAAAAAATAAAATTTAAAAAATAACCGCTCTCCATCCACACCTTGCCATGCTGCTCTATAAATAAACTAAATAGATTTTTTTTTCCTTTAGAAATTAAATGGTTAATGGACCACTATAGGAACCCAGACCACTTCAGCTTCTCCTCTAGGTTTAACCCTGCTCCTGAAAACAAATTAGTTTCAGAGAAACTGCTATGTTTACACTGCAGGATTAATCCAGCCTCTAGTGGCTGTCTCCCTGACAGCCACTAGAGGCCGCTTCCACGATTTACACAGAGTAAATAGCACTTATTTGATGCTGGACGTACTCGCAGACCTCCAGCATCAAAAAAGATCCCAATAGGAAAGCATTGAGTAATGCTTTCCTATAGGCGGGTTTGAATGATCTGGCCGCGCATACGGCTCCACTTGGCAGCTGACGTCGATGGAGGAGGAGAGGTCACCAGTGCCAAGGGAGCCCGGCGCTGGATTAAGGTAAGCAAATAAATGGTAAACCATTTATTCGCTGCGGAACAGGGCCCTAGTCACCGTTTAGCTGACTAGGGCTCTATAGCGTTAGGAATACATATTTGCATTCCTTACGATGTAGTGTTCCTTTAATGCTGGAATCAATCTCACATGTTACTCCTGCTTGGGGTTTTACTCCAATAACAGCTTCAAGTTGGGCTAGTTGCCTGTCCCTGTAGCTGACTGTCCAGTATGCATACAGTCTATTAATAAAGCTATTTGGCAAAGGCTGATTAGCCAGATCTCTACCCTTTTGGTTTTATACTGAAGACCACATCAATCCTGACTGCAATAACTATAGTTTAACAAGATTTTTCAGAGGGAGGTCTCCGGCCATGTACAGCAGCCATTGTAAATCTTACTGACTCTTACCTGCCATAACCGATTTCTGCTTTCCTCAAATCTTATAAGCGTTGGGGAAAAAAAAAGATTTATGGCATTAGAAAAAAAGGCATATAAAGATTTATAGTAGGTAAAACAAGAGCAAGTGTAAATGTGTTCAGGCTGTAGATTGAGCAGCTATGCCCAGTATATAGTGGAAATCAATCATTCCTGCACATATATTGCACTGAGATAGTAAGGCTCAGAGCTCAAACGCCCTGGGGTTCATTTACACAGAGCGATTCAAGGTGCTTCAATCACTCATGGAAGCCATCAGAATTTTCCTGGTACAGGTTCAATGATTAGAACTTAACCCAACAATTGATCCTTATCTACAGATCGGTGATACATAAGATGTGTGCAGATGTTTGGATTGTGTATTTTCACTGATGCTAATTGTGCTTAAAAGCTGCGCTGCAAAAGTGAGGCATGACTGCCCAATGTGATTAACAAACGTATAATTAGAACCATGGACTTGTTGGACTCTCTATACCAGAGACAAGAGCATTATCATTCCACTTGGGCCCCACAGCTGGATTTCCTGGATAAGGGAAATCTGGGGATATGGGATACAGGTTCTGGGGCAGCCCCCTTCATTTCCCTAGATCCCTTTTTATTCTTAGCTCTTTGGCTTTCCCCCCTGCTGCCTCCAATGCAGGGAGACTGGCCTTGACCGTATCACGCTCTCTTTTATTCATAGTTTCCTACTGAAACACATCAACCTCTAGATGTAGTCCAAGGCATCCCTTGCTCTACCCGAGTCACTCTATCTCACATCTTGAAACTATACGAATGATGTGTACCACTTGTTTGTTGTTTCCATGAGCTCTTTTTGAAAGTCTCTGTTTAATTTCTGGGATTCCTACCTCTTGGTTACCATATGTCTGTTTTCTATGCCTCCCCTGCATGGGATATTTTTTTGTTTTAGAACTGTTCAAAAAAGCTTAAATAAAGATTGTGTGGCAAAGAACAGAGTAGCAGCGCCTTATGGATGCCCTCAGATCTGGGTCCGGGTGGAACAATATGGAAAATAAGAGGTCCGGAAACGGTGTATGGTGTAGTATTTTGATATTTTCGTTGAAGTAAATGAAATGCACTTCAAAAACGCTTTTGGGCAAAGCCAAGGTGGGGAGAAATCCTTACAACATGGGTGGTATATTCCCCACCAAGGAATTTGATGTGAGAATCGTCTAGATAAAATATTCTGTATTAAATAAGGAAGGACCAGTGTAGCATAAAAACCCCACTAGTTTTTATTAGAAAGAAAATATAAAACCGTACAAAGGGTATTAATAAATATAGGCTTTTTCAGTGTCACTTGGAAAAAAACGACCATATGGTGAAACGTGTTAGTGTTACCCTTTGTGTTATTCCTAAAAAAAAAAAAAAAAAAGTTTTATACCCTACACTGAACCTTCCTGATTTTATCCTGATTTTTTTTTTTTTTTTTTAAGTTGTTCATATATTAAGGTTAACAGGCTAATATGGCATGTGTAATTCAAGAACAACATTTATCCAGAAGATTTTCACATCAAATTCCTTGGTGAGGAATATACCACCCATACTGTAGGATTGAGCAAATACTTTTTCTTTTCTTTTTTTTTTTTTCTCTCTCTAAAAGCAGAGAACTTCCATTAAGAGGATTAGCAAGCATCTGATTGATACAGACTCTCTTAATGAGCAGACTGCCTTCCGTGAGAACTTTACTCAGTGAATCCCTCTCTGGTCCATAGCTGGAGGGTGGTGCATCTTTTTAAAGTAATAAGTACATTAATTCATTGATCCTTCTAGATCTCATTATCACTGCCCTAAGTCCCCCAAGAAAACCGCCTTCAATAATGGTGAATTTGGGCAAGACATATGAAGAACAGCAGTGATTTCTAGAGGGCAGCTCCAAGACCTTATTATATCCACCATTCACTTTTTAATTCCTAAAGTGAAATACGCACTAAAATGGTGTAACACCAGGGTTATTCAGTAAACCAGAACTGTTGGGAGCCAAAATGAGAGAAACATTCCAACTTGGCTATGTTTCCAGCACCTTGTCATATACTCTGTTCATTTCTTGGCAATTCCCAATTTAACACATTTCTCTGTCGGATTTATTAGCTAAATTGTGGACTGAAAACGGCATTCCTACGATGGCCAGCTGTGACTGTAGCTGAGATGAAGAATATTTCCAAATTGGTTATTATAGGCTAGATTCTGCAGTTCTGTTCTCTTTTTTTCAGTTTACAACTCCTAGCTGAGCGAACAGGGCCTTGTGTGTTTGTTACAGTAATGACATTATGGCACATCACTGCTCCTGATTGACACCTGGCATTCTCAAACACCTATCCATGCCGTGAAGCAGTTATAACAAAACCGTGTGTAACAAAAATGTGACATGCAAAATGTAAAATTTGGGTAAAACCATGCAACTTGGTCCAGCTATTTTACTCATTGCTACTTGGAATTAATACAGCGGGGGGTTTGTGATCGCTGTACATAGACCTATATTTATATGACTATAGGGGATATAACAATAATCACAGAAACTTATTTTCCTTTTGGCCAAACCTAGTGGAGATCTACATTACTTTTTAAAAAACATTTTATTGAAAAACATTTTCTACAAATCAATCCAATTTACTTTAGTCGTGGCTTCATACCTAGTCTAAAGTAAAATGCTCAGACTTCAATACCCAAGTTTTGGACAGGGGGGCAGACAGGTGATCTGTACTTTCCTTCAGAGGGTGCTGTTGCATTGTGCATAAGAGATCCTGAATCACAGTTTGTTTCTAGATGTGCAATGATAAATGTAGCTTATCCGAGCCAAAGGGGAATGAATGCAGGCTGCAGGTTCCACCTGTCAGACTGGTATCTTTTCAGATACACAATGACATGCAATCACTCTCCCTGAAACCTAAAGCTACAAATTAGTTTAAATAGATTTTGAGAATGATCATTGCCTGCACCTTATGTGAATTCACCTGCCTAGTTAAAGTACCAGCAGAGGTTAAAACTAAGGCATTGCTAGAAGATGACTTAATAAATCCATCTTTGCCAAGTCTTCAATCTAAAATCTTTTAAGAGGTATATGGCAATATACCTCAGCACAGAATGCACCTGTCATGGTCGAATATATTTATCACCTGTTATATATTAAGTGTGTTTGTGTGTGTGTGTATATATACATTGTATTTTATTGTACCCTATTGTATCAATGCAATGTTTTGTGGACCCAGGACATACCTGAAAACGAGAGAAATCTTAATGTATCTTTCCTGGTAAAATATTATGTAAATGTATAAATTGCACAGCTCTATAAACGGAGAATTGTAAATGAGTCATTCTTACTTCAGGATCCTTCCGTCCTTCTTATCTTACATTTACTGCTGTACGCATGCCTCAAGTTAATTTAAATGTAATTGTATTATTAAATTATCTACATAGAGTAAAACAAGGCAAATACAGAACCTTAAACTCCTCGGCTGTATCTTGATTGAGACCAATTTGAGGGGGTAGCTTGCACAAATAAATTGAAAAACAAACCACAATCAATATTTATCACCCCTCAACTACTACACCAAAATAAGCCTTATCAATTCTATGTTTATTGAATTAACCACTTTCTCATCATCGATTGGAGAGAGGGGGAGGGACACATTCATAAAAAAAATATGTATATTCCGCTTCATGTACTCCATATTGCTGGTTTGTTTTACGGTTTTGAAAGGGGTTAAACAAGAAGGTGATTTCAATGATGAGAATTGGCCTACTGCAGTTAATGATAAATAGATCGAATTCCCTTTGTGGTTTGATGTATATCCTGCTGAACCTAGACATCAAAGAGCTGTCAAAGAAAGCTGCCCATGCACTGTTAATTTATAACTGCGGTAGAAAGCAATCTATAATCACACATCACACTTTCTATTTTATGATAACCTAGACATCACCCCCACCCTAGCCAAATCCACAGAGAGACCATCAACTGGGCTGTCACTGGAAGAGGAGACACTTCCACTCGGATCACCAAGAAGAGTCAATGATATTTAAAGAAACATTTCAAGATTGTGTGAAAATATTTATATCTGAACACCGGTTCGGGTACCATATTTTTATATCAGTCAAATAAACCAGCCATGTGACCTTCTGCAGAACCTCTCTTTGTAAGAGCCTAGAGCTACTCTGATTGGCTACGGACATCACACGCACAATGACATCTCGTTTTTCTTGTTTTTGTTTAATAAGTAGCTGAGGGTTTGCCGGCACAGTGAAAAACTGACAATTCGTCACTTGCAAATTCCACCTAAACTTACTGTAGCTTGCTTAGTTGAAAGTCATAGAAATGTATTTGCTTAGTTTTAAAATAATTAATGTAAAGGACAGTGCCACTTTAACCACAGTAAGTGTTTATAAATTAATATGAATAAAATACATTATCATATTACATTTCTAACAGATATCAAGAAACAAAAGCTACGTAAACTGTCCCAATATAACACACCGTTTAAAAAGAATGTTCTTTTACCCCAGTAAAATGCTGGGAGTAAATGATTAATTAGTTATCGTTGTAAACGCTCTAGAACGAAGACCATTTTCATTGTTTTACAATTATGATTTACCAGTTCTTCTCTGTATACCTTTACATGGTGTCAATTTCCCGCAGGCCATGAATTGGTGTAATCCTGCTGAACTGATCTTTGATCCAGTGGCTATACTTTTACAAGAGTTACTAAATGGGTCTATTAATTAAAACATTAGCAATTTCTGCTCCTTCAAGTGACGTTATCCTGAACAAAGCGATACACTTATATTACATAGTTACATAGCTGAAAAGAGACTTGCGTCCATCGAGTTCAGCCTTGTTCACATATGTTTTTGCTGTTGATCCAAAAGAAGGCATAAAAACCTAGTCTGAAGCACTGCCAATTTTGCAAAAAACTAGGAAAAAATTCCTTCTTGACCCCAAAATAGCAGTCAGATGTCTTCTTGGATCAAGCAGCTATTACCCCACTAATTAGAAATTATAGCCCTGTATGTTATGTTTTTGCAAGTATTTATCCAATTGCAGTTTAAACATCTGTATGGACTCTCATAAAACCACCTTTTCAGGCAGAGAATTCCTTTATCCTTATTGCCGTGTAAAAAAACCTTTTCTTTGCCTTAGATGAAATCTCCTTTCTTCCAGCCTAAATGTGTGACCTGGTGTCCTATGTATAGCCCTGTTTATGAATAGATTTCCAGATAATGGTTTGTACTGGCCCCGAATATATATTTATAATGTTATCATATCCCCTCTGAGGCGCCATTTTTCCAAACTAAACAGATTTAAATTTTTTAAATTTTCTTCATAACTAAAATGCTCCATTCTTTTTTATCAATTTTGTAGCTCGTCTCTGCACTTTTTTTGGTGCCATGATATCCTTCTTTAGAACAGGTGCCCAAAATTGCACCGCATATTTAAGGTGTGGTCTTACCAGCGATTTATAAAGAGGCAAAATTATATTTTCATCCAGAGAATTTCTGCCCCTATTTATACATGACAAAACCTTACTGGCCTTAGCAACTACAGATTGACATTGCATATTGCTGCCTAATTTATTGTCTATAACAATTCCCAAATCCTTCTCATGTGTGGTTATCCCTAGTTTACTACCATTTAGTGTGTAAGTTGCTTGTGCATTCTTAACCCCGAAGTGCATAACTTTGCATTTCTCTATGTTAAATTTCATCTGCCATTTTAGTGCCCAGTCCCCCAATCTATCCAAATCCCTCTGCAGCAAATCAATATCCTGCTCACATTTTATTACTTTACAAAGTTGTGTGTCATCTGCAGTCAAGATCATTTATAAATATGTTAAATAGTAGCGGTCCCAAAGCAGAACCCTAAGGGACACCACTTACCACTTTTGTCCAGCCTGAAAATTTACCATTAATGACAACTCGTTGTACTCTATCCTTAAGTTAAATGTTCTACCCAAGAGCAAGAATATTCATCTAGACCGATTTCTTTTAGTTTGAAGACTAACCTATTGTGAGGAACTGTATCAAATGCCTTGGCAAAATCCAAGTAGATCACATCTACTGCAACACCCTGATCTATACTTCTACTTACTTCTTCGTAGAATGCAATTAGGTTAGTTTGACATGACCTATGTTTCATAAAACCACGCTGATTATTGCCAATAACAAAGTTCTTTCCAATGAATTCCTGAATATTATCCCTTAATAGCCCTTCAAATATTTTCCCAGTCACAGAAGTTAAGCTCACAGGTCTATAATTTTCCAGGCAAGGATTTTGAACCCTTTTTAAATATTTTAAAGGAAGTACCATATATACTCGAGTATAAGTCGACCCGAATATCGAAAGTCGAGACCCCTAATTTTACCCGCAAAAACTGGGGAAACTTATTGACTCGAGTATAAGACTAGGGTGGGAAATGCAGCAGCTACTGGTAAATTTCTAAATATAATTAGATCCCCCAAAAATATTAATTGAATATTTATTTACAGTGTGTGTATATAATGAAAGCAGTGTGTGTGTGTGTGTGAATGCAGTGTGTGTATGTGATGCAGAGCCTTGGTGGGGGGTGGGTATTTTTTTTTTTTTTTATATTATTATTATTTTATTTAAATTTTTGTTTTTTTTTCTTCGTCCCCCCTCCCTGCTTGTTAGCTGGCCAGGGAGGGGGGGCTCTCATTCCCTGGTGGTCCAGTGGTGTGCACTGTGGCAGAGAGCTGTAACTTACCTTTCCTGCAGCTCCTGTACGCTCCCTTCTCTCTCCTCCGGTCTGGTCAGCTCCCCTGTAAGTCTTGCGGTGTGACTGCAACGCTCTGACCCCGCGGCTCTCGCGAGATTTGCAGGGGAGCTGACCGGACGAGAGGAGAGAGAAGGGAGCTTACAGGAGCTGCAGGAAAGGTAAGTTACAGCTCTCTGCCAGCCCCCAACAGGACCGCCGGGCTTGTAATGAGCCCGGCGGTCCTGGTCTGTATTATGGCAATGTAAGTTGCCATAATACAGACACTCACTTGAGTATAAGACGAAAAACACGTCTTATACTAGAGTATATACGGTAAGTTGTTAAACAATTTGACTACTTACTCTGGAAGGGCATCAGGGCACTCCTGGCACCATAACCACAATGGGTTGTAGTGGGTTATGGTGCTTTGAGTGTTCCTTTAACAAATACATACATATAGGTTAGGTTACGTCCATTATGAGATTATATGATTAAAGGGACACATGTTGGGTGCACTGTGTTGGTCACATTACAGCTACACTTGGTAGGCTAACTGTAAAGGTCTGTACAATATTTACAAAGTTTGATAAAACAAGTGTTCTCTCTCTCGCTCGCTCTCTCGCTGTACTTATTACTAATTCTGGTTTCTTCCTGCTGCAGACTCTAAAGCCCATTCAAACTGCATTCGTTCTCAACGAAAATGAAAAAAGCGATTCCAACTCCGCTGTACCTTAAGAAGACACTGAGGAAAATAAAGATTTCCTGGTCTGAAAAATTCCCGTTTGCTGGATTTTAGCTAAAGTATGTTGTTTGTTCAAAACCCTTATACTGGTAGATGTGAACACAGTTGTTTGACATCAACAAATCTCCAAAAATATGTGAATCCTTTGCAAGACTTGCAGTTTGAAGAATCCAGTTATTTCCCCTATACATTATGCATTTCCGTAAATTGAAATGTAAAGGTATTTATTAAAATGCTTTCATATTGTTTTCAGTATCAGCTGGTCTTGCGATTTAATCTAGATGATGATAAATAATGCACAGATTTCATTCCATGTTGCCGTATGCTGAATATTTTGTATCTGTCATGTTTTAAACTGATCTTTCATGTCTTGGTAGCTTTTTTTGCGTAATAAATTATTCAGCCTATATGTTGTTGGTTTCCCCCCCCCTATGTAGCATATTATTGAGTACAAGAAAAGCTGTGTTATGTTCTTGTCATATTGTTCTTGTATATCCCACTATATAAACATTAAGGGGGCTGCCTGTTGTGCCACTTTCTACTTGGCAGAAATAAGTTCCTCTTGAAATGTCATCTTTACGTTGTGCTAGCCATATCACAATCGAATCGATGGGTTTCTCTATAAAATAGCATTAGAATTGTGCTCACTCTCCCTTCTGGCAGACAGACTATTGGCATACACTATATGCCAATCTCTATTTCACGCTTATTGGCTGTTCTAAAGCACAGAAAGCCATAAACAGTTTCCCAAATGGACGCAGTCCTGAGAAGAATGATCCTGCCCACGACGGCAGACTGAAGTGCTAGTGGCTGCAGGTGAGTATGCTGAAAACTCTATAAAGCTGCATTGAAGGTCAGTAAATAAACACAGTTTACTAAAATTACATCACAAAAGGAAAAGGATGCCACAAAGTTTAGATTCCAGGTTCACTTTAACGGGACATTCTTAGCATGCGCAGCATACAAAAAAGATTTAGAGTACATGACTGCAGAACCTTGGCCAATAAGAAATCGATAACCCATTTCCGTCTGTGAGTTCCAACAGGGATTGCCTCCTCCAGTGTGCTGCAATACACAGACAAACCTGAAAGTGGACCAAGGAGCAGAAATAGAATGTGCAAGGCACACTACTAGTGCCACCGTTGGAAGTAACACAACACAACCTAAACGTTTCACACAGAATGTCCCTGGTCACTGTACAAGGGGGCATGTACAGGACTTCTGGGTTCAGTCTTTTGCATGGAGATGCTGAATGCTCACTATAGAGATGCAATGACTAACTGCATCTCTAGGAGTAGATGCTGAAAGGCGCAGCACTGCAATTTAACGCCCATGCGCACCAGCCTCCCAATGGTTCTCTATGGGAATTCAGGATTCATGATCCAGCACAGAGACCATCGCATCATGGGAAATAAGGTAAGTAGATTGTGGCTTTAAAAAAAATTATAAATTCATGGCGGGAGGGCAGATGGCTAAATAGTTACCGGAGTACATGTTTATATTCCAAACATCATCGTGTTTCTTTAAGTTATTCTAGATATAGAAGGGACTCTTTGGCATCCTCTTAGATTTAACAAAATTTATAAGGTACGCTATTGTTACTATAACAATTTTAGCTTATTGAAGCAGTCTTGGTATCTAGATCATGCCCCCTGCAGTCTCATTGCTCAATTCTCATCCATTTAGGAGTTAAATCACTTTGTTTATACAGCCATTTGACACTCATTTTCAAGCCATGTTTTAGAATCTCAAGGGGAGGTATCACCCAATAAAACACAAATCTCCACCCACTTGGGGTTGTTATCAATCAACAAGTTGATCATTTTCAGGGCTTGTGTCCCTTACTTTTTACTCCAAAAAGAAGAGAAAGGAAGAGACCTCTAGTCTAAGTATATCCGTGTTTCCCTCAGGGCACGTCTTCATAATTCTGCCAAATTTCTGGAAGATATGGGAATCGTAGAGCACCCTATAATCCTCCTGTTCTACCTTCTTCCCCTCTCTATTTCTCCTTTAATTCTTCTCTCCTTTCCATCTATAATCCTACTTTCAACAAAAAAGAATGTAAGTGGAACAATGACTACTAAAACAACTGTTATATCATACTAATTAAATATATGGGGAAGTGTAAAACTGACTTTTAGTCATATCGAAGTCATATTAAAATCACCTGCCTTTAGTCATGCAGGATAATTCCTAATTTCTTGACATTAATTAAAACAGTAGGAATTATCCTGCTTGACTATAGCAGGTGACTTTAAAATGGCTTCAATATGACAAAGTCAATATTACACTTCCCCACATATTTATTTAATATGAAATAATAAGGAAAATTTAAACCATACTTTTTATCTATTTATCATGGCAGCGTCACTTTTAGGTAGGTCCGCCCTCAGAACCAGAAGTTAGTGAGCTTGTCTCTAGTGAGCTTGTGTGTGTCAGTGAGCTTGTCTATAGTGAGCTTGTGTGTGTCAGTGAGCTTGTCTTTAGTGAGCGTGATTGTATCAGTGAGCTTGTTCACTCCCTGCAGCGGCCGGCTTTAATGTTTTATGCGCAGCTTAGCAAAGGGCTGACAAATCCAAGGTGCCAGGGCGAAATATCTAGTCGCCATGGCAACCTGACGCCTTAGATTTGTCGAGCCCTGTGTGTTTGTGACAAAATGCCCTTCGCCACTTGTGCCTGGAGAGGACTAATTACCAGCCTCCTGCCCTGCGACTATGGCCCCTGGAAGATTTTGCCCTTTAAATACGTTATTTGGGCATAGTGGATTTTATTAGACTGGTTCTGGCCCTTTAAATGCTCTGACAAAGGTTTTGCTATGCACTTCGGATGCAGAGTGTGAAGAAAACCCCTGTTTTATGGACTTAGTTAGAATGTTTTATCCCCCACCCCCCCTCCACTCTTAGAACACCAGTTAAACCCTTAATGCCTGTCATATTTTCAAACTCTGTCTGTCTTTAATTGTCATTTTGTTTTCCTCTGAGGAGGAGTTGTTTTGCTGCATGAGTGCTGTTGCTTTTGTGTGCTCATTAAACAGACCTGCTTGAACCTTTCTTGAAGCCTTGGCTCATGCTTGGGGGATGGGATAAGTCTGCAGTGCTGATGGTGTCGGTTGGAGTGCTTGGAGTCCTCGGCAAGCACTAGGAGCATCGATTGGCGGAGGTACTCGGTCGGAGTGCCAGTTCGTCCATCACATATATACACATACACACACACACACACACACACACACACACACACACACATACATATATATACTGTTCAAGTATATATGTTTTTTACATATAATAATATTAACAACTAGTATTTATATAGCGCCTTTCTCCCAGTGGGACTCAAAGCATTTCTCAGCGCACACTCTCACACTCTTAATCAAATCGGCAGCTTAATAGTAATATATATGTATATATACACATACACACACATATATATATATATACACGTTTTATAACTGCCCCCCTACTTTTGTCCCTGGCCCCTCCTGTGCCTCCCCTAAATATGAATCCTGGAGATGCCACTGGGACTAGTTCCTTTAATCTATCATAAGTGACTATCGCTTCGTCTGTAAAGGTGTATGTATCGTTCGAGGCCTTTGTGTTCAACCCCCCTAAAATCCTTTGTGTTGAGATCCGGTGGGAATGCCCTGTTTCTGAGAACTGGGGTCATCGGGGATCTAGAAACCTTTTTAAGGTAACCTTCTCCGTTTTTTTCCATTCTACAAGTATTTTGTCCTTGATATAATCATGGACAGGAAAGTTAGACCTAGTAGATTTCAAGTCCTAAAAATACCTGTCATTCTAGAAATTCCGATTTTTCTTCCTGAATCTTGTCTCTGGTAAGGAGAATTAGCTTGTTCACCATTTTGGACCCTGTATTTCTATGATAAGTTTCTGATTCTTCCTCCTCTTCTTCAGAGAATTCAGCTGCCTATTCTGCTTCTGAATTTGAAGAAATGGTCTTTGCTTTCGAGCGCTTGGTCTGCTCATGATTTTTCCTGTGGCTTTAAAGCCTTCCACAATTGCTTCAGGAATCCAGGCCTTAAGTTCATCTTGAGGTAATGTTTTTGTATTTTCTTCTGTAACTTCAGTTAGGCATTTGATACTTGATTACAGCCCCCACACCGATTACTCATCTACTTATGTTTTTGAGAGATCTGTCCTAGCTTCTGCTTAGGCTGTAATGAGAATATAAGGCCATGCATTATATGTTTAGGTCCAAATGCACTATCTTAATTCCCAGAATACATATAAGCATATTGGCTCACCTTGGATTTCTGAATATTGAGGGTGTGACAAACTCCCCTTTTCAAGTGAGTTTGCCATGAGTTCCTGGAGGAGCCTGCTTGCCAGCCTCCTGCCCACAGACTATGGACCCTGTAAAATGCTCCGTTCATGTATTTGGAGTATATGGTTGGGAACCGAACAGCAGCATGAACCGGAGACCACCCTGGAGCTTGTTAAGCCTAAGTGCTAATTTGTAACAATTTCCACCTCAGTGTTCGTCTGGGTGGCTGCAATTCCTACGGACCACCACGAGGTGGCAGCCATCTTGTTCACATGAATGCGTTTGGCCGTCGAGTTCATGGAACTATTTTCGGGTACTGAAACTCCCGAACACTGCTGGACTTGCATGATCACCTGCGTTCGGTTCGACAACACTTAGAAAGACACTGTTCGGTAGAAATGTTCCCACGAACAAGGGGAACAAGCTCCAGGGTAAGACTATTGACTATGTTCGGTAGTTTGTTCATTTTTAACCTACGAACTAGACCGACCGCAAGCCCTGATTCTCTGGAACTGTTTTGGGCATGGGACCATGCGTGCGGTCGGTCAAACAAATGACTTCCATGAAATTCCTGAACCCCTGAATTGATCTGGGTGATTTTTGGATATGTTGGTCACCCAGATCAGGGCTATTTTTATGTATTTTTAGGGTACTTTTGGGGTGTTTGGGAAAAAGTATGTTTTTTTCTGTGCTTGGAGATATTTGGATTAGATTAGTACAGTTCCTGATCCAATTATCTCCCAGGCACACACAAGGGATTATCTGATTTTGTATGGGAGTGTCCTGGACCTGAGAGCCAATGTAATTGTGTATTTGTTTCTACTGTAGTCTACTCTCAGGTCTAGAAACATAGAAACATAGAATGTGACGGCAGATAAGAACCATTCGGCCCATCTAGTCTGCCCAATTTTCTAAATACTAGATGGGCCGAATGGTTCTTATCTGCCGTCACATTCTAAGCTTCTATGTTTCTAGACCTGAGAGTAGGCTACAGTAGAAACAAATACACAATTACATTGGCTCTCAGGTCCAGGACACTCCCATACAAAATCAGATAATCCCTTGTGTGTGCCTGGGAGATAAATGGATCAGGAACTGTACTAATCTAATCCAAATATCTCCAAGCACAGAAAAAAACATACTTTTTCCCAAACATCCCAAAAGTACCCTAAAAATACATAAAACCCCACATAAGTTTCATCCCCTGATAGCCCTGATCTATTTCATTAGTCCCTAGCCTTATCTTATAGTTAGGATAGCCTTATGCCTATTCCACGCATGCTTAAATTCCTTTACTGTGTTAACCTCTACCACTTCAGCTGGAAGGCTATTCCATGCATCCACTACCCTCTCAGTAAAGTAATACTTCCTGATAGAAACATAGAATGTGACGGCAGATAAGATACTCTAGGGGGGAGTGCCCCTTGCATGACTGCCATTAAAGGGATTCCAGCTTGTACTCTCAGAACTATGTGTCGTCTGGTTACTGGGAAGGGAAAGGGCTATTCTTTAAATACTGTTCCAGTGTGGAGGATTCAACGGGGAAAGTCCTTGTAAGGACTAGAGCTCCTAGGACTGAGTGTCGTCCAGTGCCTGGGGATGTTAGAGCGAGTTCCCCATTCAGCTCCAGGAGGGAGCGGTTCCAGGGCCCCAGTCACGTCACAGCGACTGAGGGCAAGAGTGCTGAAGTTTGTCCCCTGTTCCAGCTAGGAAGCGATCCTTGGCGGAAGTACCAAGTGCACAAATATGATCAAATACCATCGACAAATTATACGTAATTCCAAGCTGACCATGACCAATAGGAGTTAAGACCTGCCTATATATACTTACTACTCCAATTCCTTGTTGCCCTGTTGTGGTTCTTGATTTCCCAATAGCGCGTTACTGCAGTAATCGTGTTTGGTAATTATTCTTTCTTTTCATAATTCTTTTCTTCTGTAATCCTTTGACCTCAGCTATCCTTATTGACATTGTTTGTCAGTTAGCCCGGCCATTCTAAGGACCAGTATAGGGAAAGTCTATTTGTCGTGATTTGGTCGGTGTGTTTAGATTCCACCCAATCGTGACACTTACTTTGTAGGCTTGTTTCTGTCGGCTACAAATGAATAAATTGAATAAGTCTCCACAGGTAAATCCCGGACAATTGATTTGTTCGGGTGTGGATTAAAATAAATATCATTCCTTTTTGCACAATGCTACTAGTTTTTGCAAAGGGAATATGGATTATGGTGTGCACCCGTGAGTACTCATGCCTCCACTTTACCTATTCCTCCCTGGCTGAATCATGCCTGGCCCATGTGTCTCCTCTGCTCCTGTGTCTTCTCTGGCTGCACCTTCGCTGTGCACACGCTTGCGGCTCAGAATCAAAGGCTTTTTAATGAGTCTAGGATGGAGAAAAAAAGGGAGGGATTGCAAAAACTGCAGGCAGAAAATCCGCAGCTTCTGCAAGCTTTTTTAGATATACCCAAAATGCCAGCATGCATATATAAATGCTTGCATGTTGTCATTGTGGGTAGATCTACAAAAAAATGACTCCCACGTGGAGTTATCCTCTAAAGCTTTAATGGTGACTAGAGTATTTTTTTAAATTTAAAGGTTATGATTAACTGATCTCTAACCCTAGCTCACCTTTCCCCCTTATAAAGGTCATAAAAATCTTTCCACCTTATATAAATATTATATATATATATATATATATATATATACACAGTGTAGATTGGATTAGTCGTATTAGTCCTGCAGATAAGATGCCAAAATCCCAGAGTATTGCAGTATGCAGTGATACCTTTTTTATTAGACTAACGTAATATTTACACGTCAAGCTTTCGAGAGTTTTCCTCTCTTCCTCGGGTCTGAAGCAATACTGATCAATCTGAGTTTAACACTTAAATGAACTGATGTTAGAGAAGGGTGGGAAAGAGTGAGTGGGGTGTCATAAATAGCAGAAGATGTGTCTGAAAGTAAAAGGTGCAGATTGGTTGAATAGCCAGAAAAGGTAAATAAACAGCAGAGAGTCAATAAGCTAGTTAAAAAGAAAAAAATGAAAAAGAAAATTGGTAGTGTGTCAGAAAGCCAGAGTCTACATTAAGTCCTTCATTTATGGTGTTGAATGTGTGATCATTTTCATCTCAAATGCCTTGTTCAAGAGAGTCTTTAAAATTCTCTTTAAGAACTTTAATCTTGAGGTTTTGGATCAAGTGATCATGCTGGGTGAAGTGATGACCAGTGGCCAGATTTTCCAATGTAGCAACCTGTCACACACTGTACACTGTATCATGTACACTACATTCTTGGATGTGCACGAATATGAATCCTTAATGTTGTATGATTAGGTATCATTGCATACTGCAATACTGTGGTATTTTGGCATTATATATATATATATATATATACACATACACAGCTTTAATCAAAATTATTCAACCCCCATTAAAAATCAGGTGTACTGTCAAAATTTACAGACTTTTAGCTGTTTGATGAACAAATCAAACATAAGCAATTGAAATAGCTGAACACAACAAATTCTTTGTGGTTACCCCAAATTCATTTGAAAATGCAACTTATAATTACTTCTCAAGTCACAAACTTATTCAACCCCCTGAATAAAATCCCTTATCACAGCACAAATATGCAAAACAAGTGTTGTGTCAAGCACATCTGGTGCATCTTATCAAGGGTTAGTTGCACCAGGTGTGCTTGAGCTGGAACACTTCAAATACCTAAACTGGCTAGGGTTTTTTTTGAGTGTCACGTCTGACTGCATGTTAGAAAAATGGCTAAGTGAAAAGAATGGTCCACAAAGTTAAGAGAAGAGATCATCGTCCTTCACAAACAAGGAACAGAATACAAAACAATATCAAAGACACTGAATGTTCCTAGAGGCAGCGTTGGAAGCATAGTTCCCAAGTTCTAAGTTGTAGCAACAGTGGTTACACAACCTTGACGGCACAGAAAAGGGAAGCTATCAATGGCTGCAACCAGATTTCGAGTGACTACAAAAGACCTGCAGCAAGACTTGTTGACAACAGGCAAGGCGGTTTCAGGGAGGACAGTAAGGCGCTTACTAAATGCAGAATGTTTCCATGCTAGAACTCCGAAACATACACCACTACTGACCCAAAATCACAAGAAAAGTTGGCATAAATATGCTCAAAGTCATATAAATAAGCCACAGAAGTTTTTGGATTCGGTTCTGTGGAGCGATGAAACGAAACTCTAATTTTCTGGCCCAATGGATCAGCGGTCATGTCTGGAGGAAGAAGAATGAAGCATACACTGAAAAGAACACTCTGCCTACAGTTAAGCATGGTGGTGGCTCAGTGACGCTCTTGTACTGCTTTGCATCCTCTGGCACTGGAAACCTGCAGCGTGTGGAAGACAAAATTGATTAACTGCATTCTCAGGAAATCCTAGGAGAAAACATTGTGCTGTCTGTGAAGAAGCTGAAGCTTGGGCATCATTGGACCTTCCAACAAGACATGATCCCGAGCATAACTCAAATTTCAACAATGTTTTGTTGCAGGAGACTTCCTGGAAAATTGGACAGTGGCCATCACGGTTACCTGACTGGAATCCCATAGAAAATCTCTGGTGGGATCTGAAGACGGCAGATGCAGCACGCAAACCCAAGAATATTACTGAATATTACTGAAATGGAAGCCATTGCTAATGAGCAATGGGCTAAGATGCCTGAGAAGCTTCCAGAAGCTGGTGTCTGGCTATGTATCTCGTTTGTAGCAGCTCATAACAGCAAAAGGGGTGCTCTGCTAAGTTCTAAAGATGCTTGTCATGAAGGAGTTGAATAATTTTGATACCTGAGAAGTCATTACCCCATCACCAACACGGTATTATAGAATTGTAGTCCCCCGGAGCTATTTTACATTGTTTATGTTCTTGGTAGGATCGTTTATTGGACTGCATACTTCAAGGGACTTCAAGTTTCCAGTTTTCACGGTGTCGGGACACGAGCAGCTGGAGTTAGTAAATTAATTAATTGTTTAGGATATATATTGGATGTATATTGTCCTGAGACAGGACTGGGATCACGTCCGAAACATTGAAGTTTTTTTATTTTTTCCATTAACCAAGACCTTTGAGTGCCCACTTTTTTGGCTATATTACAAGACATATATATATTTGGTGGAATAAACGTGCAATATTTAAACCATTCTGGAAGTCGATTTTTATTTATATAAATTACCACTGAAAGATACAAATTGCCAACCACATACAGCACTATTTAGAATATATCTACCGGGGAAATTATGTCTTAAAGTAAATGAAAGCTAACTGTAACAATGTCACTCTAATAATGTTAAACATGCCACCAGTGCGTCATTTGTACCACGGAGCACGGTAACGGTGTCACTCTAATAATGTTAAACATACCACCAGTGCGTCATTCTTACCACGGAGCACGGTAACGGTGTCACTCTAATATTGTTAAACATGCCACCAGTGCGTCATTCGTACCACAGAGCACTGTAACGATGTCACTCTAATAATGTTAAACATGCCACCAGTGCGTCATTCTTACCACGGAGCATGGTAACGGTGTCACTCTAATATGTTAAACATGCCACCAGTGCATTCGTACCACAGAGCACTGTAACGATGTCACTCTAATAATGTTAAACATGCCACCAGTGCGTCATTCGTACCACAGAGCACTGTAACGGTGTCACTCTAATAATGTTAAACATGCCACCAGTGCGTCATTCGTGGAGCACTGTAACGATGTCACTCTAATAATGTTAAACATGCCACCAGGTACCACGGAGCACGGTAACGGTGTCACTCTAATAATGTTAAACATGCCACCAGTCATTCGTACCACGGAGCACGGTAACGGTGTCACTCAAATAATGTTAAACATGCCACCAGTGCGTCATTCGTACCACAGAGCACTGTAACGGTGTCACTCTAATAATGTTAAACATGCCACCAGTGTACCACGGAGCACGGTAACGGTGTCACTCTAATAATGTTAAACATGCCACCAGTCATTCGTACCACGGAGCACGGTAACGGTGTCACTCTAATAATGTTAAACATGCCACCAGTCATTCGTACCACGGAGCACGGTAACGGTGTCACTCTAATAATGTTAAACATGCCACCAGTCATTCGTACCACGGAGCACGGTAACGGTGTCACTCTAATAATGTTAAACATGCCACCAGTCATTCGTACCACGGAGCACGGTAACGGTGTCACTCTAATAATGTTAAACATGCCACCAGTGCGTCATTCGTACCACGGAGCACGGTAACGATGTCACTCTAATAATGTTAAACATGCCACCAGTGTGTCATTCTCACTCCTTGGTTCCATTGCACAAAAACCTCATAAAACATCCCACAGTGTCATTTATTGTGAATTATTTAAGAGTGACCCAGCTAGGTTATATATTTCTGTTTTATGAATTAATCATTACTAAACTGGGAATTGGCATGAGAACTGCCTAAATTAAGCCAAAACCGGATGAGCTGGAAAATTTGACCAATTCACAATCTGGTCTAAAATGCTTTCCCCTTTTCAAACTGTCACAATTACCAGATTGGTTACACAGTTTTCACATCTAGCCGTTTGACCTGTTAGATTCCATCCACTAGGTGGTGATGTTTTTGTTTTTGTTGATTGATTTTTTTTTTTAGGGACACTATAGTCACCAGAACCACTACAGCTTATTGTAGTTGTTCTGGTGAGTATAGCCTGTCTCTTTAGGCTTTTTTATGTAAACACTGCCTTTTCAGAGAAAAGGCACTGCTTACATTAGAGCCTAGGAACACCTCTACTGGCCAACCCTCAGATGGCAACTGGAGGTGCTTCCTGGGGCATTGCTGCCCAACACCATTCAGCATCTCGACACTCTGCATGGAGACGCTAAACTTTCACTATAGAGGAGATGCCGACTGGTGCAGCGTTTTGCCATGCATACGCAGTAACCTCCCAGTGCTTTCTTGGGAAAACTAAAATAATCAAATCTGATTATGTCAGCCAAGGAAGTCGGACAGGGAGGCAGGGCCAGACACGAGGAGCCTCGTACGGCGCTGGGAAAAGGTGAGTAAACCACCTTTCTAAACCAATGTAAGGGGAACCAACCACCTACACGGTGGTTTTAGAAGGATAGTGTCAGGAATAGGCATTCTGTTCCTGACACTATAGTGCAATTTTAATAAGCGAAAAGGAGACTTTATTACTTATGTGTATGACAGTGACCCTGGAATATCAATATCCTTCCATATGTTATTAAAATGTTTGTACTTAATCTTTGTAAGGTACTATATACTTATGCTATGTCTCCTTTCAAAAAGTTAAACATATGCTGTAAAAAAGATAAAGATACATAAGAATGTAACTATTTGGAGCAAATGTCCACAGTCTTTGAAAAATAATATATAAAATTTCTCCAGTTTTAGTAATAAACTGGGAGAGCAGAACATGAGTCTAAATTTGGGTGTTTCACATGGTTTTGGGATATTTGGGAGATTGCATAGTTTTACACAAGACATTTCTAAATATGTTTTTTTAGGGGTTTTCTCTGTCGTATCTGAAGTAGGGTAACATAATTTCAGTTTCAATGGAACATTTCAAGCACCATAACCACTACAGCTCACCCCCACAGTGTAAGGAGTAAAACTGCTTTGGAACAATCCGACCGGTGCTGTCCCTAGCCTTCTCTATCAACGCTGGAAAGCTGTAATTTCATAAGTATCTTATGTTATTCTCCCTAAAATACAGAGCGATTAGATGACATGTTCAGCAAAGATTCTAAGCCATGTATTACAGGGCTAACAGAAGAAGTAATGGAACTACTAGTACCATATTCACTACACCGGACATAGACAGATGCGGTTTTAATAGTTTATAGCAAGCATGTCAAACTCGCGGCCCACAATGGACATCTTTGTGGCCCGGCGAGCCTCAAGTACATGCCTAGTGTTCCAAGCAGAGTAGGCATTACGGCACCCGGCATCACTGCGTGCGAGGGAGCAGTGAGGAGCAGATAGAAGATCCGCTGGGAGAGGCCCCACATCAGTTCCCAAAGGTAGGGAACAATCAAGAAAATGATAATGTGTGCAACTAAACAATATGATATAATAGGCATAACTGAAACATGGTGGGATGAGACACATGACTGGGCAGTTAAGTTAAATGGGTACATGTTATTTAGGAAGGATAGGAAAAACAAGAAGGGTGGTGGGGTATGTTTGAATGTCAACCATGATTTAAAGCCAAATATTAAGCAAATGGAATGCGATGAGGAAAATGTGGAAGCTTGATGGGTAAATATCTGCTTTGGGGAAAAGAAGGGAAACCAACTATTGGTTGGGATATGTTATAAACCACCTAATGTTAATACTGACGAGGAACAACAGCTGTTTGAGCAAATTGAGAAAGCTGAAAATCTGGGTAACACTTTAATTATTGGAGATTTTAATTACCCGGACATAAATTGGGACAGAGGGACTAGTAGCTCAGCAAAGGGAATTAGGTTTTTAAACTTGTTAAATGACACCTTCATGTCACAACTTGTACAAGCACCAGCTAGAATGGATGCTTGTCTGGAACTGGTTTTAACAAACAACGTTGATCTTTTGACCAACATTCAAGTAGGTTAGCACTTGGGAAATAGTGATCACAATATAGTGTCCTTTGAAATAAACTCAAAAAAACAAAAGCACATGGGGAATACTAAAACATATAATTTTAAAAAGGCCAATTTCAATAAGTTAAGGGCAGCTTTACAATATATTGACTGGCATAAACTCTTTAGTGAAAAGAACACTGAGGATAAATGGATCATCTTCCAACAAATATTAGAAAGGTACATTTTTCAGTATGTACCATTGGGAAATAAATATAAAAGAAACAAATTAAAACCAATGTGGCTTAGTAGAGAAGTAAAACAAGAGATTAAAAATAAGAAAAGAGCATTTAAAGCATTTAAATCGGACAAATCAGATGCATCTTATAAAAGATATAAGGAAGCAAATAATGCGTGCAAAAAGGCAATTAGACTTGCTAAACTTCAAAATGAAAAAATGATAGCTAAAGAGAGCAAAACCAACCCCAAAGCATTTTTTAAGTACATAAATTCTAAAAAAACCAAAAATGAAAGTGTAGGTACACTAAAAACTGAAACGGGGTGTTAGTTAATGAAGACCAGGAAAAGGCAGGAATTTTAAATAACTATTTCTCCTCCGTATATATTAAGGAAGAACCCATGGCAACAGATGTGCAAATGATTGCTACTAAAAACTTGCAGAATAATTGTAATTGGTTAACTCAAGACAAGGTGTTGCAGCAACTGAAGAAAGTTAATATAAACAAAGCTCCAGGGCCTGATGGTATCCATCCACATGTACTTAAGGAACTAAGTGTAGAAATAAGTGAACCTCTGTTTTTAATCTTTCAAAATTCTTTTCTTTCAGGAAGTGTTCCGGAGGATTGGAGGAAGGCAGATGTGGTTCCTATATTCAAAAAGGGTTCAAAAACCTTGCCTGGAAATTATAGACCTGTGAGCTTAACTTCTGTGGCTGGTAAAATATTTGAAAGGTTATTAAGGGATAATATTCAAGAATTCCTTGAGAAGAACATGATTATCAGCAAAAATCAGCACGGTTTTATGAAGCACAGGTCATGTCAAACTAACTTGATTGCATTCTACGAAGAAGTAATTAGAAGTATAGATCAGGATGTTGCAGTGGATGTGATCTATTTGGATTTTGCCAAGGCATTTGATACAGTTCCACACAATAGATAATGTTCAAACTCAAGGAAATCGGTTTAGATGAAAATGCTTGTTCTTGGGTAGAACATTGGCTTAAAAACAGAGTACAAAGAGTTGTCATTAATGGTAAAATTTCAAGCTAGACAGAGGTGGCAAGTGGTGTTCCTCAGGGGTCTGTTCTGGGACCCCTTCTATTTAAAATATTTATAAATGATCTTGAAGACAGCATTGAAAGCCATGGTTCAGTGTTTGCAGATGACACAAAACTTTGTAAAATAATAGAATGTGAGCAAGATATTACTTTGCTGCAGAGGGATTTAGATAGACTGGGGGACTGGGCACTCAAATGGCAGATGAAATTTAATGTTGAAAATGCAAAGTTATGCACTTCGGCATAAAGAATACACAAGCAACGTATACCCTTAATGGAAGCGAATTAGGGATAACAACACACGAAAAGGACTTGGGAATTGTTATAGAAAACAAACTATGCAACAATGTGCAATGTCAATCAGCAGTGGCCAAGGCCAGTAAGGTATTGTCATGCATGAAAAAGGGCATTCATTCTCGGGACAAGAATATAATTTTGCCTCTTTATAAATCACTGGTAAGACCCCATATTGAATATGCTGTGCAATTTTGGGCACCTGTTCTAAAGAAGGATATTATGGCACTAGAAAAAGTGCAGAGGCGGGCTACAAAATTAATAAAAGGAATGGAACATATCAGCTCTGAAGAAAGGTTAACAAATTTAAACCTATTTAGTTTAGAAAAACGTCGCCTGAGAGGGGATATGATAACATTATACAAATATATTCGGGGCCTATACAAACCATTGTGTGGAAATCTATTCACAAACCGGACTTTACATAGGACACGAGGCCATGCGTTTAGACTGGAAGAAAGAAGATTTCGTCTAAGGTAAAGGAAAGGTTTTTTTACTGTAAGAACAATCAGGATGTGGAATTCTCTGCCTGAAGAAGTGGTTTTATCAGAGTCCATACAGATGTTCAAACAGCTACTAGATGCATACTTGCAAAAAGAGAATATTCAAGGATATAATCTTTCAATGTAGGGCAATAACTGCTTGATCCAAGGATAACGGACTGCCATTCTGGGGTCAAGCAGGAATTTTTTTCCTAGCTTGTTGCAAAATTGTGCTTCAAACTGGGTTTTATTGCCTTCTTTTGGATCAACAGCAAAAAACAAATGTGAGAAAGGCTGAACTTGATGGACACAAGTCTCTTTTCAGCTATGTAACTATGCAATGTGTAAATGTGTGTCCGTGTCTCTGTCAGTGAGTATGTGTGTCAGTGTGTCTGTTAGTATGTGTGTCAGTGTGTCTGTTAGTGAGTGTGTCTGTCTGTGAGTGTGTGTGTGTCTGTTTGTGTGTGTCTGTCTGTCAGTGACTACGTGTGTCAGTGTGTCTGTGTGTCTGTCAGTGAGTGTGTCTGTCTGTGAGTGTGTGTGTCTGTCTGTCAGTGAGTGTGTGTCAGTGAGTGTGTGTGTGTCTGTCAGTGAGTGTGTGTGTGTCTGTGTGTGTCAGTGAGTGTGTGTCTGTCTGTGAGTGTGTCTGTGAGTGTGTGTCTGTCAGTGTGTGTGTGTCTGTCAGTGAGTGAGTGTGTGTGTGTGTTGGTCAGTGTTGCATTGGCTGCGACTTGACAATGGATTACATGGAGGCACGCAACACCACGTCACATTCCGACATGACATTGACGTGCTCCACCTTCACAGGGTTTCAAGAAGTAGCAGGAGGATTAGATTTGGCACAGGGTGCAGACGGTGCCATCTGGGGTATACCATAGGCCAAACTCCGGAGTCACATACTGGCAGCGGAAATGTGAGTGGAGTCTGCTTGTTGGCTAGAGGGGGGTGCTGGGATTTAGTAGAGGGGAGGACTAGGATTTAGTATATGGGGGGACTGGGATTTAGTAGAGGGGGATGCTGGGGGATTTTTTTATACTGTACTTTTCAAAATAAACCTATGTTTCTATGAAAATTTAAGGTTTGGTTTTTTTTTGCAGCCCACATAAACTTAAACCTTGTTTATGTGGCCCATGCTAGATTTTGAGTTTGAAATTCTTGCTTTACAGTGTTTATAGTGTACGAGGAGCCAAAGACAGGAAGTTATAACAGAAAGTGTGCAGGGAGACAGGGACCTCCTTACACCATAACCTTATAGCTGCAGTTATAATACACTGTGTGCGGGGAGACAGGGGACCTCCTTACACCATAACCTTATAGCTGTAGTTATAATACACTGTGTGCAGGGAGACAGGGGACCTCCTTACACCATAACCTTATAGCTGCAGTTATAATACACTGTGTGCGGGGAGACAGGGGATCTCCTTACACCATAACCTTATAGCTGTAGTTATAATACACTGTGTGCAGGGAGACAGGGGACCTCCTTACACCATAACCTTATAGCTGCAGTTATAATACACTGTGTGCGGGGAGACAGGGGACCTCCTTACACCATAACCTTATAGCTGCAGTTATAATACACTGTGTGCGGGGAGACAGGGGGCCTCCTTACACCATAACCTTATAGCTGCAGTTATAATACACTGTGCAGGGGGGAGATAGGGACCTCCTTACACCATAACCTTATAGCTGCAGTTATAATACACTGTGTGCAGGGAGACAGGCTACCTCCTTACACCATAACCTTATAGCTGCAGTTATAATACACTGTGTGCGGAGACAGGCTACCTCCTCACACCATAACCTTATAGCTGCAGTTATAATACACTGTGTGCAGGAGACAGAGGACCTCCTTACACCATAACATTATAGCTGCATTTATAATACACTGTGTGCGGGGAGACAGGGGACATCCTTACACCATAACCTTATAGCTGCAGTTATAATACACTGAGTGCGGGGAGACAGGGGACCTCCTTACACCATAACCTTATAGCTGCAGTTATAATACACTGAGTGCGGGGAGACAGGGGACCTCCTTACACCATAACCTTATAGCTGCAGTTATAACACACTGTGTGCAGGGAGACAGGGGACCTCCTTACACCATAACCTTATAGCTGCAGTTATAATACACTGTGTGCGGGGAGACAGAGGATCTCCTTACACCATAACCTTATAGCTGCAGTTATAAAACACTGTGTGCAGGGAGACAGGGGACCTCCTTACACCATAACCTGATAGCTGCAGTTATAATACACTGTGTGCGGGGAGTCAGGGGACCTCCTTACACCATAACCTTATAGCTGCAGTTATAATACACTGTGTGCGGGGAGACAGGGGACCTCCTTACACCATAACCTTATAGCTGCAGTTATAATACACTGTGTGCGGGGAGACAGGGGACCTCCTTACACCATAACCTTATAGCTGCAGTTATAATACACTGTGTGCGGGGAGACAGGGGACCTCCTTACACCATAACCTTATAGCTGCAGTTATAATACACTGTGTGCGGGGAGACAGGGGACCTCCTTACACCATAACCTTATAGATGAGGTTATAATACACTGTGTGCGGGGAGACAGGGGCCCTCCTTACACCATAACCTTATAGATGAGGTTATAATACACTGTGTGCGGGGAGACAGGGGACCTCCTTACACCATAACCTTATAGCTGCAGTTATAATACACTGTGTGCGGGGAGACAGGGGACCTCCTTACACCATAACCTTATAGCTGCAGTTATAAAACACTGTGTGCAGGGAGACAGGGGACCTCCTTACACCATAACCTTATAGCTGCAGTTATAATACACTGTGTGCGGGAAGACAGGGGACCTCCTTACACCATAATAGCTGCAGTTATAATACACTGCTGCAGTTATAATACACTGTGTGCGGGGAGACAGGGGACCTCCTTACACCATAACCTTATAGCTGCAGTTATAATACACTGTGTAGGGGAGACAGGGGACCTCCTTACACCATAACCTTATAGCTGCAGTTATAATACACTGTGTGCGGGGAGACAGGGGACCTCCTTACACCATAACCTTATAGCTGCAGTTATAATACACTGTGTGCGGGGAGACAGGGGACCTCCTTACACCATAACCTTATAGCTGCAGTTATAATACACTGTGTGCGGGGAGACAGGGGACCTCCTTACACCATAACCTTATAGCTGAGTTATAATACACTGTGTGCGGGGAGACAGGGGACCTCCTTACACCATAACCTTATAGATGAGGTTATAATACACTGTGTGCGGGGAGACAGGGGACCTCCTTACACCATAACCTTATAGCTGCAGTTATAATACACTGTGTGCGGGGAGACAGGGGACCTCCTTACACCATAACCTTATAGCTGCAGTTATAATACACTGTGTGCGGGGAGACAGGGGACCTCCTTACACCATAACCTTATAGCTGCAGTTATAATACACTGTGTGTGGGAAGACAGGGGACCTCCTTACACCATAATCTTATAGCTGCAGTTATAACAGCGGGGAGACAAATCTCCACACCATGTAAATCCTGCAGTTATAATACACTGTGTGCGGGGAGACAGGGGACCTCCTTACACCATAACCTTATAGCTGCAGTTATAATACACTGTGTGCGGGGAGACAGAGGATCTCCTTACACCATAACCTTATAGCTGCAGTTATAAAACACTGTGTGCAGGGAGACAGGGGACCTCCTTACGCCATAACCTTATAGCTGCAGTTATAATACACTGTGTGCGGGGAGACAGGGGACCTCATTACACCATAACCTTATAGCCGCAATTATAATACACTGTGTGCAGGGAGACAGAGGACCTCCTTACACCATAACCTTATAGCTGCAGTTATAATACACTGTGTGCGGGAGACAGAGGACCTCCTTACACCATAACCTTATAGCTGCAGTTATAAAACACTGTGTGCGGGAGACAGGGGACCTCCTTACGCCATAACCTTATAGCTGCAGTTATAATACACTGTGTGCAGGGACAGGGGACCTCCTTACACCATAACCTTATAGCCGCAATTATAATACTGTGTGCAGGGAGACAGAGGACCTCCTTACACCATAACCTTATGGCTGCAGTTATAATACACTGTGTGCGGGAGACAGGGGACCTCCTTACACCATAACCTTATAGCTGCAGTTATAATACACTGTGTGCGGGGAGACAGGGGACCTCATTACACCATAACCTTATAGCTGCAGTTATAATACACTGTGTGCGGGGAGACAGGGGACCTCCTTACACCATAACCTTATAGCTGCAGTTATAATACACTGTGTGCGGGGAGACAGAGGACCTCCTTACACCATAACCTTATAGCTGCAGTTATAATACACTGTGTGCGGGGAGACAGGGGACCTCCTTACACCATAACCTTATAGCTGCAGTTATAATACACTGTGTGCAGGGAGACAGGGGACCTCCTTACACCATAACCTTATAGCTGCAGTTATAATACACTGTGTGCAGGGAGACAGGGGACCTCCTTACACCATAACCTTATAGCTGCAGTTATAATACACTGTGTGCGGGGAGACAGGGGACCTCCTTACACCATAACCTTATAGCCGCAATTATAATACACTGTGTGCAGGGAGACAGAGGACCTCCTTACACCATAACCTTATGGCTGCAGTTATAATACACTGTGTGCGGGGAGACAGGGGACCTCCTTACACCATAACCTTATAGCTGCAGTTATAACACACTGTGTGCAGGGAGACAGGGGACCTCATTACACCATAACCTTATAGCCGCAATTATAATACACGGTGTGCAGGGAGACAGAGGGCCTCCTTACACCATAACCTTATAGCTGCAGATATAATACACTGTGTGCAGGGAGACAGGGGACCTCATTACACCATAACCTTATAGCCGCAATTATAATACACTGTGTGCAGGGAGACAGAGGACCTCCTTACACCATAACCTTATAGCTGCAGTTATAATACACTGTGTGCAGGGAGACAGAGGGCCTCCTTACACCATAACCTTATAGCTGCAGTTATAACACACTGTGTGCGGGGAGACAGGGGACCTCCTTACACCATAACCTTATAGCTGCAGTTATAATACACTGTGTGCGGGGAGACAGAGGACCTCCTTACACCATAACCTTATAGCTGCAGTTATAACACACTGTGTGCAGGGAGACAGGGGACCTCATTACACCATAACCTTATAGCCGCAATTATAATACACTGTGTGCGGGGAGACAGAGGATCTCCTTACACCATAACCTTATAGCTGCAGTTATAAAACACTGTGTGCAGGGAGACAGGGGACCTCCTTACGCCATAACCTTATAGCTGCAGTTATAATACACTGTGTGCGGGGAGACAGGGGACCTCATTACACCATAACCTTATAGCCGCAATTATAATACACTGTGTGCAGGGAGACAGAGGACCTCCTTACACCATAACCTTATAGCTGCAGTTATAACACACTGTGTGCGGGGAGACAGGGGATCTCCTTACACCATAACCTTATAGCTGCAGTTATAACACACTGTGTGCGGGGAGACAGGGGACCTCCTTACACCATAACCTGATAGCTGCAGTTATAAAACACTGTGTGCGGGGAGTTACTATAACCTATTCAAGGAAAGTATGTTATCATGGTGCATGGAATATCCCTTTAACTCCTTAAGGACACATGACATGTCTGACATGTCATGATTCCCTTCTATTCCAGAAGTTTGGTCCTTAAGGGGTTAAATCATTTAACAAGTTGGAAACAGTATAAAATTGATGGTGTCAATGCAAAATCATTTCCAATGCAAAAAAAAACACTACAAAAGCATTTAAATTATTAAAACAGACTGCATAATATTCAGTGTAATATTTTCACCTGCATTTGCAATTTAGAGCAAAAGCAATATTTCACCTAAACCCTTTCAATGACTCGGCTATAGCAGACCGTTAGG